TCAGCACAAGAAGGGCTGGAGTGATGTCCAGGAATGGGAACAGCAAACTCTGAGAAACAGTCAGGATAATCACTTGCCTGAAAAGAAATGGAAATTCTCTCCTGGTAGGTTTATCTGTGTAATTCCAGAGGTTTCAAGGATGACCTGCCTGACAGAAATTCTGGGAAAATCCAGCTCCAGGGAATGCTGAGGAAGCGCTGCTACTGCTCAGTGTAGGATTTGCTTTTCGCTGGTCTTGATAAATAAAACCAGTTCTATTTCTCTGTGTCCCTAGGTAAGAAAATGTTCACTTTCCATCTGGGATATGACAGTGAAAGAAGTGGGGTGGGATGTGAGGTGAAAGGATATTTCCAAAGAAAAAGGATAAAAAAGGGAAAAACCACCTTTGTATGTGCCCCAAGCCTGAGAGTGGCACAGGATTTATAAATCACTTAGGTCTAGGTGGTTGGAAATGATTTGGGGACAAGGGGATTGGTGAGAGTTTGTTTATCTGTGCACCCCGAGTGCAGAAATTCACTTCTCTCTTCAGAATTCATTTAGGAACAAATATCACTGAGGAAGATTTTTATCTGCATCACTCTGAAGCAACAAATCATTTAATGCAAGCACTTGAAACGAGGTAATAATACGATTTAGAACATTCTAAGTCATACTAAAAAAGGAAAATTCAGACCATGACAAGATTTTTAATGGTAGCTTTTAAATTTATCCTGATTTTTTCTTTAATTTTTATTGTTTGTGCAACCACGCATTCCCCAAGTGCTGAAGTTGATTTAAAACTGCACAAACATCTTCATTACTGTATTCCAGATCTCTGTGGTGCTTACATTAAAAACAAAAGAACAAAGTGAAACCATTCCTGTGAACAAAAAAAAAAAAAGTTATTTCAGCAAAGAGAGAATTTTATTTTGACTTCTGAGGTTATGCAAGAGCTCCAGGAGAAGTGGGACAAGGATAACAAGGAGGGGATCGATATCCAGAGTTCAAAGGTAGGCAGCTGATCAAAGGTTAAATACAAGAAAAGAAATTATTCCATTCAAGTTAAATATAGGACATCGTAACCCAAATAGGTGCTTGGCTTCAATTAAAACCCTTAGAAAAGGCTTTTGTGCTGAGGGGAAGTTCTCAAAGTCAGGCAAACTTTGTTTTTCTTACTTGGAAAGATGTGTGGGAAGGGATTAGGCTCTCCAAAGGATGGGGTGTCTGCATTTTCCCTCCAAAATTGTTCTGGTTATAAAGGGCAGAGGGCAGAACTGATGGGATCCATTCAGGATTGCAGCGTGCAGAGGTGGCAAGGAAATATTTCCTGTTCTAATGTGTTTTGGTTTGAAAAGCCAGGTGTCTGCTAAGGAAGGCAGGAGCCTCCCTTGAAATGGAAAATGTAAACCCCCTCCCTCTGAATTATTGTAACTTTTGAAATTAAGGGGCTCTCGGGCAAAGATGTGGGAATAGGAATGACAGTTATTTACTGGGAAAACTAAAAATACAAAATAATAGTACAAACAAAACAAACCCCTGCCAGAGTCAGTTTAGGAGCTGGGCCCTGTGGGTCAGGGTGGTGGCACAGTCCCATTCCTGTAGAGAGATGGAAGACCAGGGCCTGGAAAAGCATTTTCTCCATCCTGGCATAGCTCAGAGCACTGAACAGAGCCAAAGGTGGCAGGAAAAATGGGAAAGGGAGAGCTGAGGGGAGCAGGAGTGCAGTGGGAGAGGGATTTTGTGAAAGGAGTTGATATATTGTAGAGGATGCAGGAGCTGCCTGCATAGAAAGCAACAAAATGCCCTTCCCAGCATCCCTGCAGTGGAGCATGGCTGGGAATATTGGATAGCACAGAGTAAGTGGAGAGGCTGTGTATGCAGAGCAGGAAATTCTGTTTTCTTTCATTATTGAACATGAGAAAAATGTGGGAGGAATTCTCCTCAAAAAAGAGAGGAAAGGGGATTTTGTGGCCGTTGTCTTCAAGGGCTGTCCAGAGTTGTGCTGTTCTGAGGAGAAGTGTCAATATGGAGAACATTTATTAAATATTTATCTGACTGTGTAAACACTGATAAGAATTGCTTTTAATTTCTCCTTAATCTGTTAAAAATAATAACCAATATAATTAAATCTATTAGTGAAAGCAACAACCAGAAGTTGGACTTGAAGCAGAGCCCAGTTCTTTGCAGGTTTCCCTTTTCTAGCTTAACTCAAACACATCCCAGATTGTAACTCACCAGTACATTCAAATTCAGGAGAAAATAACACAAACCTGCCAAGTTCTGTCATTTTTAGGCAGCAGCTCTTTTGCATTCCACCCAAATCCAAAACTCCTCAGTCCTAGACTTTTATCTAGTTATCAAAACCAAGATGCCAAGGCCAGGCTGGAGCACCCTGGGATAGTGGAAGTGAAACAAAAGGAGCATTAAGTTCCCTCCCAGCCCAAACCATGCCATGATTGCTTGAAAACCAGCTATGAGGTTATTTTTATCCATGCATACAAGGCATTGGAAGCTGTTACATCAGCTCCTGGGCTCACCTGGTTTAATTCCAGCTGTTGTGGCTGTGTCCTGATGAGGTGGTTTAGACTTTGGAATATTTTCTCTTTTACACAGAAGATTCTTCCAGTTGTTTCCGTGCAGGCAAAGAAACCCACGGATCTGGAGGGATCCTCTTGATCAGATTCTTTGCTCTTCTCCAAGCCTGTGGTACTTTCAAGACTCAATATTGTTTTTAAGAGGTACTTTTTGGGCATTCTGCTTAAATGTAATTTTATTTGCTTTTCCTGTACTGGGTACTTGATGCAAATTTTATCCATTTTTAAAAAGAGCTGGGATATTTCAGTGTCAGCTGCTTTCTGGGCTGACCCTGAGTGTGGGGTTTATATCAGGGGGAGGAAATGTGGCTCTACATCCACCTGAAAGGTCTCCTGAGATGATTAAAAGGGACCCACTGGTCAGGGAGCATTTCTGAATCTCTTATTCCATAATTATTATAATGTGCATAATGCCTCATATGCATTAAACATTCAACTGAAATGACTCTGAATGTGAGAGCAACCATATAATAAAGGGACAAACCCCTCATTTTACATAATATAATTTAAAATATTAATAATGTAACTAATATACATAGGGTATGTTTAAGGGTGTACACTTAACCATGTAGTTATGAATTATATATGTAAATATAGCACACACCAAATGTGTATTTAAACACTTAAACTTTCTACATGGGCTAATTTGAAGTGCACTGCACTGGATTAAATTTTTAACATTTTACTTGCAAATAACCACAACTCAAAAATTCATATTGCAATATATTTGTATTGGTAACTGAAAACACCACCAAGCATGACTGAATCCTTGGAATCACAGGAGATTGGGATTTCCAGGAAGTGTAAAGAGGAACTTCCAACTCTGCATCATTTATCAAAGACATCCTGGTTTAGCTGAAAAAACCCAGAAGTTTCTCAGCTGAGAGGACAAAAATCACAAAAGTGATGATTTTGTGGGGAGGGGGAAAGAGGAAAGGGCAGGAAATAGAGGGAAAGGGATGGAAAGGAAAGAGGAAAGGAAAAGGGAAAGGGAAAATCCCCAAAGGTGCCAAACCCTCTTTTTTCCCAGCCCACCACGCTCCAGCTGTGCTGCCAGATGTTGCCATCCAGCTGCTCCTTCCAGCTCCAAGGAAAAATCCAATTACCTGTGCATTTCTGGCAGATTCATCAGAACAAGCACAGCCAAGTGTGATGTGGTTTTATCTTTTTCATGGGTGGAATTGTAATTCCAGGCCATCTGTGGCTCTTCAGTGCAGCAGTATCTGTTCCTGTTCTACCCCATCCAGTCTCCAAAATTTGGTTCCAGGAGGAGCCTTTTCAGTGCAGGGATCATTTGGGAACACTTTGGAATGACACTGATGGAATGAGAGCTGATTTTCCATCATTTCCTGCCCACACCAATTAGTGGTGGTTTCCCTCTAAGCTGCCACAAGTGGACTTTTCTCTTCAGCTGCTGTCAGGCCTCAAAAACTCCAACAAAATTCCAAGAGTTCCAGAAAATGAAGCTTAGGAAAAAGATCTGAAATGCAGAACTTTGTGGCTCTCAGGGAAACTTTTTTGCCTTCAGTGAGGATTTTTTGGTGGGATGTACAGCAGGATTGTGTTGTTATTTTACAGGTGCTGGAAAGTCAAACTAAGAGGAGAGGGAGAGTTAAAAAAATCCCATCCCAGCACAAGCAGGATGTGGAATTCTGTTGGAAGCTCTCCCGCTGCTCAGGATGATGGATTTTCATGGGATTTCATTTCTCCAGTTGGGGCTGGGTCCAGGGTCTCTGTGGGGTGGGACAGACTCCAAGGAGGCAACCCCAGTGTGAATTATTATGGTAAACACACAACAACAACATTTCCTTCAGTGGAATAAACAGAGACCAACATTCATTAACCTTAAAATTTCATGTTTATTTTTACAACTTCAAGTTAAAATACAGGGAACACAAATCTGGCTGAAGTCATACAACCCCCCCAAATTCAAATTATTTTTTCAAGTATCTGAATATTTTATAGACCAACATCTTGAAACATTATTTCATGCTGAATCAGTCATGTGAAAGCATTTGCTTCTACGTTATCTGGCCTTAAATTCTCCATAATAATGACCTGCATGGGTATAATTAAAATTAGGGTGGAAGTTAAATACAAGCAAAAATTACAGCTTCAAATCCACTTCGGTAACATCAACTGCATCTTTTTTACAAAATTGATCAAATGTGAAGCCACACAGGAATTCTACTCTAAAAAACAGAGTTTTTCCCTTCGGTTCTCACTTTGAAAGGTGAACTTTATCCTGAAGTGGCACTGCTGGCTCGTGGCTGCCTTGTACACAAAACGCCTGGCTGTGAACTGACTTTACTGCTGTGTTGGGAAGGGAAAAAGCATTCCAAGGTGACAAAAAAGCACTTTGAAAATTGAAAAATGGTTTTAAAACTGCGAGAGAATGCAGAGGCGTGGCTGATTTTATTTTCCTTCCTAGCTCCATTGCAGGGTGTAGCTCTGGCCCAGTTTCAGCTGGAGATTGGTGATTTCCAGGAGCTGGGAATGAAACACACAAAATGCACATTTAGTAACTGAGCCCTAAAGATCCACGGTGTTTTCTGTGTTCCGGGGAGAAATTGGCTTCCATTTTAAACTGCAAGAATTTATTTCCCTTTTTTAATTTACATTTGTGTTTGTATCACTACAAACAGTTTAACCAGCGCAGATTTGGGAGTCTGACCATGACTCTGATCCCTTCCTTCACCCACAGGCTCTTTCAGAGCTGAGGTTCCTTTTGTTTTAAAAATAAAGGAATTTTTTAAAGTAGAAAAACTTAGAATACACTGCAATTCAACAGTGCATACGAATTTTTTTCCCCTCAAAAAGTCAACAGCAGAATCTCAGAGAATGCTCAGAGAAGCTTTTCCTCATGTCACATCTCCCAGGTTGCAAGGAAGCTGTTAGGGAACAAAATTCACTGCTAGAAGTGGCATTAAATGGTATTAAAGAATCATTACCTGATGGCAGCTTGTGCCAGTTTCTGAAATATGGTTTATTTTATATATGGTAAATAGATGTATAGTTTAAATATGGCAACTATTTTAGAAATGCTAATATAAAACTTCCAAATATGCTAAATATATAGATATTTTAAATATGGTAAACATACAAATATTTAAATATGGTAAATATTTTAGATGTGGTAAATATACAAATATTTTAAATATGCTAAATATATAAGTATTTTAAATAGGCTAATATAAACATTTTAAATATGCTACATATATATGTTTAAAATACCGTAAGTAAAAAATAATTTTAAATTAGTAAATATATAAATATTTTAAATACGCTAAATATATAAATATTTTAGATATGGTAAATATACAAATATTTAAAATATGGTAAGTAAAATATTTTAAATATTGTAAACATATACATTATATATTACATGTATATTGTAAACCTTTAATAGGCTAATATAAAAATTTTAAATATGCTAAATATGTATGTTCTAAATATGGTAAGTAAAAATATTTTTAATTTGGTAAATATATAAATATTTTAAATATAGTAAGTATACAAATATTTAAAATATGCTAAATAAAATATTTTAAATATGGTAAATATATACATATATTAAATAGGCTAATATAAAAATTTTAATATGCTATATTTTTTTTTTTAATATGGTAAGTAAAAATATTTTAAATGCAGTAACTATATAAATATTTTAAATACGGTAAATATACAAAGATTTAAAATGTGGTAAATATATAAATACCTTTAATAGCTAATATAACAATTTTAAATATACTAAATATATATGTTCTAAATATGGCAAGTAAAAATATTTTTAACTTGGTAAATATATACCAAATATATAGAATATATTTTATAATATATTATAAAATAATATATTAAAATATATATAATATATTAAAATATATAATATATTTTAAATATGGTATCCCAGCTGAATCTACAGAGGTTTAAGAGCACAAACACAGGTTTTTAACCCTTTGAGCTGTTTCTCACCTTTTTGTTGCTGTTATAGGCAACCTTGTGGGTTGATGGGATTGCTGCCCCGCCCTGTGACACTGTCACCTGAGTGACACTGTTGGGCACGCCCAGGACCTTGATGTCGGTGAACATGAGGTTGTTTGGGTCCGTGTAATTCTGATGTGTGACTCTGATCTCCAGAACATTCTGGAAGGAAGAGGGGAAGGCAAATATCAGAGGTTGGGTTGGGCTGGTACCAATCCAGAGCAGCTCTGGCTGCCCCTGGCAGTGCCCAGGGCCAGCCTGGAGCAGCTGGGACATGGAAGGTGTCCCTGCCTTGGAATGAGATGATTTTTATGTCCCTCCCAACCCAAACCATTCTCTAATTCTGTGAAGTCCACTTCAGCTTTTCATTTATGTCCTCGCTCCAGGTTTGGGTTTTTTTTTTTCAATTTTTATTTCCTAAAACCTGTGTGTTGTTATTTATTTTTCAGATACTGAAAGCTTCTCTCCACTTTGTTAACCTGGCCAAATCCTGGGCTCTGCTGTGCTTTAGTTGCCACTCAGCTGTGAAGAACAAGAAATTCTCAACCCCTGGATGGGCAGCAAGAGCTGCAGGACAAAGCCCTCCTTCCCTGCCCTGTGTCACCTTCCAGGTGCTCTGAGAGCTGCTCCAGGCTCTTCTCCTCCTGCTTTTTGCCCTCCCAAAACAGCTCCTGCCTCCCAATCCCCTCCCTCAGCACTAACAGACCCCCCCTCATTCATTACTGTGTTTTTAAGTAGATTTTGGATTTCTTTAGGATGTACCCAAAAGTGCTGTGACACAATTCCACGTATTTGGCGCTCAGAGGGTGAGTGTCTCTCATTGTTGGTTGATTCAAGACCTCTTTAATTAGGCTTTTCCTTAGCAAGATTTTGTAAGAGCAGGGAAAGGTGCTGTTATTTTATAATCTCCTTACAACTGCAAATATTGAGTGTTAGCAAAACAAACTCCCTTCCCTAGCAATTAACACCCTTTTATTTGACAAAGACAGAATTAGGTGAGAAGAAAGAACAGTGTGGATAAAATTAGAAGACATTGTGGCACACTGAAAAATAACGAAATAAGAAAGTGTGTTTTCTCCTACAATAGAAAGAGCTTTTCTTTTAAGCCAAAAGTCCCTGTAATTAGAGCCTAATTTATTTCCAGATATTCCACTGGTTATGGAAATGAAGTCTGACAATGGTACTTAACAATACTCTTCAGATTCACTCCTAAATTCATTCTTAACACAATTTAATCATATTTCTTGTAGTCTAATCATCTCTGAGCACAATTGGGATATGCAGACACTAGGAAGACCCAAATCAAAATACCCATAGTTAAAAATATTAAAAAAAAATCACCTGAAGTGACTGTTAAATAAATAGGAGCTAATGTGATTACCTGCTTAGCAGTAAATGATGTCAGCAGGTAAACACCATCTTCATATGCATCTGTTAAAAAGAAAGAGTGAAAGAAATTAAATAAGATGTCTTTGCTGGCCACATTATCAAAATTTCTGTCCATGGTCAGCTTACAAATACAAGGGATATATTTTTATGCAAATAAAGATAAGTTGTGCATTTCCAGAAGAAGAATGCTATTAGACATAAAATACTTTTAGTGTATATAAAGCTGAAATGAGGATAAAAGGAGAGCATTTTAGGGGTAAGATATAAAAGCAGGCAAAGAAACAGCACTAGGGAAATCAGGGGACTTTAGATGAGGAGAAGAATGTTTGTTTGAAACAATGAAGAAATGAAGAGTCATTTCCCACATCCCCCTCCACGGCCAGGTGACAATTCCAGGTGACACCTGAGGTGGTGGGGCTGCTGCCTCTGAAGCCTCTGCTGGTGTTTGCCCAGCACTGCTGGGATTCTGCTGTCACTGCCCTCAGAGCAGTGCTGATCCCTGGGCACTGGGGCTCCTGTCCTGCCATCCCACTCCTGGGACTGTCACCCTGCGAGATGCTCCACCCAAATTCCATTTAGCCCACATCCCCCTCCACGGCCAGGTGACAATTCCAGGTGACACCTGAGGTGGTGGGGCTGCTGCCTCTCTGAACTGCTGGTGTTTGCCCAGCACTGCTGGGATTCTGCTGTCACTGCCCTCAGAGCAGTGCTGATCCCTGGGCACTGGGGCTCCTGTCCTGCCATCCCACTCCTGGGACTGTCACCCTGCGAGATGCTCCACCCAAATTCCATTTAGCACCAGTTTTCCCCAAATGTGGCCGTCCTTTCTGGATTCCAGCAGATTGAAAGACAGAGGGTGTGAAGCACCTCCAGATCCACCTCCAGCCTCCTGCAAACTCCCCCCAGGTCACTGTCCAAGGCACACTTCCTGCATTCCTGGTGGGAATCTCATTGTTATTACAAAGGTCGTGCACTCCGTGTGGGGAGGAGAAATGCCAGCTCAGTGTCTCTTACTGGCAAACAATTTTAATTTAGCCATGTTGAGGAAATTAGTGAGAGCTCTCACACAATCTGTGGTTATGGTTCCCCCAGCTTTGAGGGGGAATCTTTGTTTTCTGCCTTTCCTCAGGCCCAGGGCATGAGGTCATTTATACAACATATTAATTCTGTAAATCACAGCGTGGTGTGCCTTCAGTCAGGAGGAATCATGTTTCTGTAATGTTGGTCTGCAGGTTTCATTTCAGTTTTGCCTCTGAAGGTGAGTTCAGATCTATCCCCCAGAAATGGCCTTGGCCAAGTCCATCCCTTCCCTCTGCTTCTCCTCAGACACCCCAGAGTTTGTTCCCTCTCTCCCCAGTTCACATCCTTGGGTTTGGTTTTGTCTGCTTGAATTTGGGCTTTGAATGCCCCCAGAGATGGAGCCTCACTTGGCAGTGTCCAACCATTCTCACAGCAAAAAAAAAGGTTTTAGGAAGGGAAGAAGGCGTGGACGTACCGATGCGAACTCCATCATCCCAATAAAGGTGTCCTGCTGCAAGCAGGGAATCATCCAGGGCCACCGTGAGTCCCATCGGGTTTTTCCGGCTGTGGAAAACACAATTTTCTCTCAATTCCCTCAGCTAATCACATTCCATATTCCCCAAATGGTAATTTCTTTACAGTAAAGTCATGTACCACCCACCTGACCTCCCATAGCCATCTGCCCATCCCATACTACTAAAGACCATTAGGAAAAAAAACCCCAAAAAACACCAAAAAACCAAATTAAATTTAAATTTTTCACTTCTTCCTACCTGTAAGCAGTTGTAGTAGCAGGTGTTTGCCAAGGCAGGATGTATCCACCTCGGATGTGCAGGTTGATGTGCTCCAAAGGAGCAGATAGATTTTGGAATTGTTTCCTAAAGCCAGTGTCTGCGTTCTATGTACAAAAAAATAAAAGAATTTTTACAGGTTTTTCCTTCAGAACAAAATGTAATATTTCTCTAGAGAGGTTAATTAGGATTTGTTACTGCAGGAGTAACTATTAATAAGAGAAACACTGAAATTTTGGGTCTATAAAAGGCTGGCCTGACCATGGGTGATGGCAACTGAACCAAAGGGGCCAAGCAGGTGAAAAACAAAACCTGTGGTTAATGAAGGGAGTTTTGATCCTGCTCTTCCTATTTCCAAATCTTTTATTATTTTCCAGGAAAAATTATGCAGCTAAACCTGTTTTTTTCTTTCTTTATTAGAACATTCCATTACAAAAACCTTGTGTGTATCATTTGAGGGTTACAAAAAGCGAAAAGAACTCTAAATTAAAGGTATTAACTTCACCTTTTCATTTATCATAACTCTGGTCATGTTATTACACATTATTATAAAGGAATCGAGGATTTTTATTATTTCTTTTTATGTTTCTAAGAACTTATATTAAATGCAAATTAGGCAGGAGAGTGTTCCCACCCCCCTGCCACACTCAGCACTGTGAAAAGACAGAAAATAAAAATTTTAAAATACAATTTTTTTAGGATGACTTACTGTGTAGTAATCGTACCAGCGGGCATCGGGGAAATACGCCCTCACGCTCCGATCATTCTGCAATTAAACAAACAAATTTTAGGCACCTCACATCAAAAAGTGAAGCTTAGTTAAAGTGACTTCCAGTACTAAATAAGCTTAAAAGCTCACCTCTCTCATCACAGGGCTGATGAGCAGGGCAGGCCCCCAGAGGAACTGCTCGTCGATGTCCCACGTGGTCCTGTCTCCCACAAACCTGTCAGGAAGAGACAGCCAGAGCTGAGCTTTCCCAAATAATCCCTCCTTGAAGACCCTTCTGTCAGTAATTTCACCTACTCTTTCTAGTATCTGTTTCCTCGTTACTGCTGTTAATAATTAAGAGATCAATTAATGGCTGCACAAAGGTCCTGACGTGACACTCATTAGAGAAATGCAAGTTTAGTGCGTAGCTTTAGGGGTTTTGGTCCATTTCTTTGCTTTTGCTTTTCAGTACATTGGGACAACAAAACTCTGAAGGTCTTATGCTTGTTATTTACAGTAATAAAATCTTGGACACACTTTTTAATTTGAGACACTGTTTTCTGAGCTTCTTTGAAAATAGCAAATCACTACATGCAAAAAGCTCAGTTTTTCCCAGTTTTTGTTTAATTGAAGGGGGAAATGCTGTAACAAAGAGACAACTCTGCTGTTAGGGGGTCACAATTAGAGGAGTAATGGGAATTTTTTTTGTGAGGAGAGCAGGGGAATGGCACTTACTCGTGGAGAATGGGGCGGATCACGGTGCTGCCGTGGGCGTGGGCGTCGTACAGCAAGGTGTAGAGGTAAGGTAACAGGGTGTATCTTATGTTCAGCACATCCCTGGACATCTCTTTAAATTTGTCATCCCAGGAAGCAGGATCTTGCCTCTGGAAGAGAAGGGAGTGTTAGAGAAGCTGGGCTGGATTGCATGAGAAAGCTAAAAAACCAAATCCACGCAGCAAAACAAACCAAGGAAGTTTCCTCTCTGAAGCAGAGCATCTCCGTTTGTCTATTCTTCACCTCAGGAGCAAGTGAAAACTGTGGTTGTCACTGTCATCCCCAGGAGGGGAACTATAAAGAGGAAAGCTGATAAAAACCCAGGGGAAGCAGTAAAAATGTTTAATGCAAAGTGTCCCCAAGGTGTGACACGTCCCAGGGACATCACCCATCAGCCCTCTGCTCGCAGCATGAGGCCGAGGCACCAAGGACTGGTGTCAGGAGAGCCTCAAATCTTTATTAAACATAGGGAACAATACCTTGGCAAATTGGGCAGCGCTGGAAGCACCATGATAACCCTGCATCTGCATTTTGAAGGCTTTCAGGGCCCGTGGAAAGTGTGTGCTGCGAGATAAAGCGGCTGGCTTTGAAAAGGAGACTTTAATCCATTAGATATTTGCCATCTAAATAGCTCCACTCTGCTAGACCTGAAGCTTTCCCTGGAACACAAGTGCTGTTTCCCTTTTTTGCATTTTCCCAGTTATCTTGTTTTACAGCTTTCTCCACTCCACTCCTTAGCCTACATTTAGGCAATTATTTCCCTTTCCTTTCAGCAGAAATACAATATCTGACGGTGGCAAACAGGCAGAGCACAGAAATTCTTGAGTCTCACTCCAGCATCTTATTACACTGCCCCATTTTCTCATTTGTTGTATAATTATGGGCAATTAGGGCCGAGAGCACCGAGGTCAGTTCTGTTTCTTGAAGTGTGTTTGCCATAAAATCTCCATTTTAGCCCTGCTGTAGCTCATTGAAATCCAAATGGCACAGAGGGGAAAATACGTAGAGTTTGATTCAGTGAAAGCAAAGTTAGAAGGGGCTTCCTTCAAGTGTCCAAATCCCAGAGCAGCCCCTCTGAGGGCACAAAACCTCCCAGGTGATGGGGAGGCTCACAGCAGAGCCAGCATAGAAATAATGACAGTTTTCATTTGATAAAGAGCCAAGAGTGTTCTGTTTTTCTCCATTTTACCTTGAATGTATTTTTTTTTTGTTTGAGCCAAGGCACCTGTGCATTGTTCTGGCTGGTTCTGCAAAGGCCCAGCTGCTAAGAACTATTAAAAAACTCTTATTGCAACTCACCCGTGTTCCTTTCTCGTTGTGATTCCTGGAATATGGGTAAAATGCACCCAGCTGCATCCAGCGGACACACAACTCATACTGTGAGTCTTTGAAGAAGCCACAGATATCAGCTCCTGTCTGAAATTTTCAGAATAACCCAAATGAAAATCTGTATTATCATGTACAGCATCACAGTAATTAAATAGAAAGTTAATAACTCATTAGCTTACATAAGATATTCCAAAGAGACTGAACTCCATCATGCCTGAAAAGAGAAATAAATTGGAGTTACTCACTGGGTTTTTTTACTTTGTGGTTTCATACTGTTTATTACACTGCTGAATCAGAAGAGAAAAAAAACAAATCCAAACCCCACAATTTCTCTAACGTGTCATGTTTTCCTACTACAGAAGGAGATGGGATGTGGGTGGACAGGAGCAAAGAAAAAAAATGAGTGGCAGGACACAGGGCATGGAGGGGCCTGGTCCCAAGGGAATTAAAGGAGTTCCCAGCACCTGGTGCAGAAGAAGAAGTGAAAAAGGAATTGACCACAAATTCTGGTTGCTGAACAAGTTTTTTCAGCTAAAAATCAGAGGAATACAAAAAGCAAGGAGGTGAAGGAGAAGCAAAGCCAGGTTGGATAATGCTTGGAGGAGCCTGGTGTGTGGACAGTGTCCCTGCATGGCAGAGGCAGAACGGGGTTTAGGGCTTTAAGGTCCCTCCCAACCCAAACCAATCCGTGATTTGGTGATGGCAGGCATGCAGACCCTTTCCCTGGCACGTACCAATAATGGATTTGTGCAGCTGGTCCCAGGCTGCCGTGTTGTCCCCCAGCCAGTGTCCCACCCATCTCCCGCTGCTGGGGTACGTGGAGCGGCTGATGATGATCCCGCGCTCCTTGGTGGCACCTTGCAAAGCCCTGCGTTGGGAACAGGCACAGGAACGAGTTACAGGAGAAATACTGCATGAGGATTTACTGCAGAAGAGCCTCTGAAAAGAAATATTTGGGTTTGTATTGTCCTAGTGAAGGGCTACATCATGTACATCCAATTCATTCGTGCTTTTTATGGCAATTCTGTATGTTCCAGATGCAATCCCAGCAAAGCTGGCCAGCAAACCTGCAGCTGCAAAGAGAACTGGCAAACATGAGGGATTAAAAGGGAGTTTTCCAGCTCAGGCTAACTCCTCTGTAGGAAAATAGGGATGTAGCAAAACTTTTCTAAGCCCATTTTCTAGGTGCTCCACAATGCGTGTGAGGGCACATCTTTCCTTTCTTAGAGTACACAAAAACTGGAAGCAACAGTTGGAAATAATTTAGCAAAAATTAAACCTAAAGGTTCACAAGAGTAAAAACAAAGGTAGCAGGAATATTGGACCTCTCAGGATAAGTTTAGTTGACTAAAAGGTGCTGAATTAAAAAAAAGAGGGCTTTTTAGTCCCTTCTGAAAGACCAAGGTGACAGGATATCAATATGAATATTAGTCGGAAAGTCACCCTGGTTAAATCCCACTGCTCTCCAACAAGAGCCCCATAATTGCCTAAGCTGCTGCTTCAATAAGGCACTATTTGCTTATTTTTCTATAGGATTTGCAGCTTTAGTGACACCATAATTACAGCAAAGATACACAAGTCACTTAAATTACCACAGCAATTAAGCCAGACTAATGTGCCACAATTATTTCCTCCAAGACAAACAGTAACTTCCCTAGGATCCTTTATTCCTTTGTAACACATTGTCCAACACTTTAATTCTCTGTTTGCTTTCCCGGTGTCAATAATGCTTTGGAAGTGGCAGCTAAAATTTCAAAAGTGAGCAAATGTCACATGTAGAATTGCTCAGGGATGAGCAGGACCTGAGTGTTCTGTGCCTGGAGCCTCAGGCCTGCAGCTCCATAGCTCTAGCCATGAAAAACAATTATTCAGGTCACAAAGGCTGCATTTACCTCCAAACAGTTCCTGTTTTCACTAATAAGAACTCTGGCTATGCAAAAACCTCATTACAAAAGAACAGCATCAAGGCAATATCCCAAAGTTCCTGTGTCAAATGGATGGAGGACTGAAATGACACCAGGTTACATAAAATACTGATTCACTTCTCAGTTACAGTCTTTTGTGAGTTTTGTGTGCAAATAATCTTTCTGTTTGGATGGTTTAGCATCAAAATAAATTATTGCATTTCTTCAGTTTCACAAGCACCCCTTCAGTTACTGCCAAAAAATAAATTTGGGACTGAAATACATGTATATATATTTTGTAGATAACATTTGCTATAAATTTCCAGTGTGAGAGTATCTGCGTGAGCCGTGAGATTTATTGTAGTGATTTTTGTTGCAGTGCCTTGCAAAACAGAGGAAAACAGTTCATATTTAAAACACAGAAATGATGGTGATATTCCTTTTCCTACCAAATTCTTGTCTACTCCACTGGGTGTGCACAAGGTCTTGGCAGGGGTGGCTCCAGTGAGAAACTTCTGGAGCTTCCTCGTTTCTGATGGAGCCAAGAGGGACCTGCCCTTGGCTGAGCCCATCAGCAGCACTGAGTGACTTTGGGATAACAGGAATAAGAAGGAAAATAGCTCCCAACAGCAACTGGAGCTGTTCAAACTTCAGGCCCAAAGCATGAGCAATGTGAGAAGGGCGGGCAAGCAAGCAAGGAGGATGAAACTTCATCATTAGAAGCTATTAATTGGACAGTTAAGTCCTATGTGCAAATAGAATAAAACTTATAAAGATGTGAGATCTCATGACCAAACCCTCTTTTGATCCCGTCTTGGAGCCATCCAGGCAGAGCCATGGCTGTGGCTCTGGTGCTGCCAGGGTGTGGCCTTGGAAGGCACTTCAATAAATACCCACTTTTATTACTCCTAACTCCATCTAGCCTCTGTTCCAGCTCCTTGAGGCATCAGAACATATCCTGGAGGCAGCATGGAACATGCAAAGCACTTACAGCAGGCTGGGTCTGGCTTGGGACCATCCGTAAAGGCTGTGGACATCGTAGTGTCTGGCTGGGGTCCCGTCTGGGAGGTAGTGCAGACCTTCCATGCATGGAGTTTTGTGGATTAATCCTGTTGACCTATATCCCAAATCTTGTGCAAAGGGAAGAAATATATTTTTTTATTAATAATCATGTATTAATAATTTGAGTTACTTTTCCTTCATTTTCATAATCTGTTAGGCGTTCAGTCCCTTTATATTGTCACTTATTTATTTATAATTATAAAAATAGCATTTTCAAAATAGAACATTTCCAATATTCCTATGCAGGTATCCGAGCCTGTGAATGTTTTAAAAGTTCAGTTAGAGATGCTCTTACTACAGAGGCTCAAAGAATAAACAGAGTATATCAGAAAATATTTCAAATCTTTTTGAACACTGTCACACTAATCACATAAACAGAAAAATGGATGTGGTGGGGGTGTGATCTGTGTATCTGAATACTAATTTCCTGGAAATTCCTGAGAAACCACTCATGAAACCTGAATACAACAGTAAGCAGTGAGAGTATGCTAATAAACCATTAATAAATAATTCCTAATTAGTACTACTTTACACCAGTACTTCAGGAAAGCTGAGCTAAGAAAGTGAAGCATTTCAAGCATTTGACTGCTCACATAAATGGTAATGAGAGGAGACACATGGATATTTTCTAAATATTTAATTAATTGCATTATTCATCTGAGAAAAGTGCAAAACAGAGAGCTCAATTCTCTGGCATGCCTCAAGCAAAGCACTAAAGACAAAAATAGGGACCAAAATCCATATGCAGTGAGGAGCTGGAAAGAACTTTACTTTTACAAAGTGCTGAAATATCTGGGTTTGCAGTGTGCCCATAATCTCAGGAATAAGGGGCCATGTTCAGTGAGGATCTGTGAGTTTATAAACCCATCTTTATCTCGGCTTTTATGCCCCATATACCAGATAAGAATTTATGTAGGAACCAGAAAAACCTAAGACTCTTTCAAGGAAGAATCATACTTACAAGGCATGTAGGGGGGATAATTTAGGAGGTTGTTTCTGCAGCCACCCATGGCGCCATTCATAAAAGCTGCTGGTTCATTCATGTCCTAAAAACACAGAGCAGAACCCCTTAGTTTGCTATAGAACACCATAAATTCTAAGCTACACACAAACAGCTTTGCAGGGTTCCTCAGGAGCCTCAGTTGGACACCCCGTGTTCCATAAAGGGGCTGACAAAAAGGCAGGACAAGGATTTTCCATGAGGGCATGGAGTGACAGAAAAAGGGGGATGGTTTGGAGCTGAAGGAGGGCAAGATTAGATGGAGTATTGGGAAGGAATTGTTCCCTGTGAGGGTGGGCAGGCCCTGGCACAGGGTGCTCAGGGAAGCTGTGGCTGCCCCTGGATCCTGAAAGTGTCCAAGGCCAGGTTGAACATTGGACCTTGGAGCAACCTGGGATAGTGGAAAGTTGCTTGCACGTGGCAGGGAACAGGAATAGGAGATTTGAGATCTCTTCCAACCCAGACTGTTCTGTGATTCAGCAATTCTTTGTTTCAAAGGAACAACCTTATCTGAGGCTGTCAAGTCCAGCATTTCCTTAATGGGAATTTAGCACGGGATACTTCTGCCAGATCAGTGCAGATACTGGGAATCAGGAATTGGGGCCCTCTCCACCAGTGTTGGGCAGAGAAAAAAAATCCAGAAATCAGATGCATCTCCACACTTACAGTCCACAGGCCATCAAACTTGAGGCTTTTTGAAGGGTCAGGATTGTTGTAGACCTCCAGGATTTCCCTCTTGTACCACTCCAATGTGGAATTGCGGAAGAAGTCTGGGAAAGCACAATGGGACACGTAGTTCTGTAAAAACAGAAGGAAAGCAAGACAGATAAGGGGGACTGAAGGTGTTCCATAGTTAAAACTCTGTAATTTAAATAAAAAAAAAATTAAAAGACAACAAAGAGTAATTGCTTGTTCACTAAATTATTTAGCTTTTAGGAAGGATTAACCAGTTTCTGCACTTTATTCCTGCCGTGAGATTTATCAATGATTTTGCTGCTATTTTAATTGATTAATGTCTATATTTGAGTCCAGAACCAAACCATGTCAGTATTTACCTCTACTTGGTCTTCATGAGGCAGTGACTCATTGATTTGGACATTGGGAAGAAAAGACCAGACCTAATAGGGCAAAGAATATTTTAAATAATCAAGCCACACTAAACACAAACTGAGCATTACAACACACAGGTTTAAATACTCATCCCAGGACAGTACCTTGGAATACAAAATTTCTTTGGTATCAGGCCATTGTACGAAGATATTATCAGCCACACCTCTGGTGAAGGCAGGATAATTGGTTTCATTCCCAGAAATGGCTGGATCCTACAATTAGAAACACTTTTACCCTTATGCTCAAAACTCACGTTGAATATATTCTCTATTTTGTGATGCTGTATTGGAATTTAAAAACAATAGTCCAAAACTGACCAGGATAATGATAAATCTCATTCCTTCTGCTTTGATTTTGTTGATCAGAGCCGGTAATCCAGCAAAACGTGGGGAAAGGGTGAAGTCCAGGTTCCTTTCCATGTAGTCAATATCTACATATTGGACATCCTGCAGTTAACAAAAAAAACCAATTAATTTTCAGTTATTTTCCCCTCCTTTTTGCCAAATATTGAAAATAAGTAAAATATGGAGCTTTCCATGTGTTAAATTGGAAGCAGTGGTAACTTCAGTCTGAAGTTGTTAAATGAATATTACACAATTTATGAGCAGGTGCAAACCAAAATAAACCTTTCACTGCTGCATCTAAACCGAGGGGAGAAATTGATACAAAATAGAGAAAAAAATTGATTTGTCTGTACATGCGTACACAGAAACTGCACCTATATTTCCACAGCTATGAGGAAACAATGGGAGTAGCTGTTCTCTATTGAAACATTGATATTATTATATTTAAAATGAATCCACGTTCAATTTATAGCATAATTTTGTTAGGTCTAGGTGCTATTCCTACTACCCCAACAACAACCTGGGCCAAATCACAGCTGACTTGACACAGAGCATTATGGCAATGAAATTATGCTGCTTCATTTTTCTCCCTGCTGGTTTTTCTTAATCACTGCTCCTTCCTTCATTCTTTCATGTGAATAATTAAGAAAATTAAACATCTTTTAACACAGCCCAGAGTCCATGGCACAAAACCTGCTCTTCTCTACCACAGTGGCATTTTTTTTTGGTTGGTTGCTGCTTCAGTGTTTAAATGGATTTAGTCAAAGCTACAAAGCCAAAAGCTCAAATGCTATTTTCTCCCAACGTACGTGGGGAATTCGAGCTGCCTTCATTTCCTCCACGAGCTGGGCGACCTCCTGGTCATTGGCGTATCCATAGCGGCACAGCTGGAATCCCAAGGACCAGTAGGGTGGCATGACTGGGCGCCCAATCAGCTGAAAAGAGGAAAGGATGCTCGTGGTGAGGAGGGGAAGAGAAACCAAACCAACCCAGCAAAGCCCAGCAGCGGTCAGGCTCCTACCTCGGTGTATTCCTGAACCACGAGTTCGGGGGTCGGGCCCAAAACCATGTAGAAGTCAAGGATTCCTCCGATGGTGCGATAGGTCAGGGCAGGGGTGGGCTGGAAAGTCACATCTGGAAGTGGAGGGAAGGAAGTGAGGAAAGGAGGCCTGGGTTTGCCACCAGTGCTAAACGCTGACTGTAAAAATGGAACACCCGGAGGAGGACGGAGACAATTTACAGAGGTCTGGACAAGGGAGAGTGGCTTCAAACTGACAGAGAGAAGGCTAAGATGGGATATTGGGAAGAAATTCCTCCCTGTGAGGGGAGTGAGGCTCTGAGGTTGCCCAGAGCAGCTGTGGCTGCCCCTTGATCCTTGGCAGTGTCTAAGACCAGGTTGGACACTGGGGCTTGGAGTGGCCTGGGACAGTGGAAGGTGTCCCTGCAGGGGGTGGAACAGGATGAGTTTTAATGCCCCTTCCAACCCAGACCATTCCATGATTTTATGAGATAAAGTGAAGGTTTTCTTACCCATTGCATTGCTGTTAAGCAAGAGAACTCCATGGGCATTGCCATCTTCTTCAAGAGCCATATAAAATGGATGAACACCATAGGAATTCAACTTGTACTGCAAGTAAAACAAAATACATTTTACTGGGGAAACATTGCAAACATTTGCTTATTAACATTTGGTAATAAATTTAATAAAAGATGAGACAATTGCCAAACATAGCAAATAAAGTTTAAATTTATGCACCTAAACCCTACCTAACCACAAAACAGACCTGCAGAAGGTCACTCGGAGCTTCACAATTTGTCAGGTTTGTCAAGACTGCTCAGGCAGGAAGGAAAGGCATTGTTGCACTTAAATTTCACTAATGAGAAGGTGCTTCCTCAGGACAAAAGTTTCCCTTCTTTGCAAACAGAACCAGGTGTCTGTGTGCTCAGGAGGTGCTGGTGACATTATATTTAATTTTCTCAAAATGTGTTCCAGCCTGAACTGGAAGTTAGAGATATAATTAGCTGCTGCTATTTCATTGGCCATTCCCTGATAATTGGAAATTTGCTATCTTGAAGGAAATAAGACAAATAAACAGAGATAAGATTTCTGCTTTACCTGTGTGAGTACTAAATTAATCCCCAAGCAACAGGAATTTTTCTGACTCATGTCTAATTTTCAAAACAATGAGCAGAGAAGAATAGTAAAAAGGAGGAACGTGCTGTTACTCTTAAGCCATCTGTCACCTTCCAACATCTGATTGAGGGCCTGAGCTCTTCACATTGTTCTTTCAGGTCACAAATAATGGGTTTACAGATGACCTATGCCATGGAGACACCATCGAAATTGTAAACCATGATAAATATGGTCAGAGCCAGTGCCCAGTACCAGCAGACATCCACTGGATTTTAAAGTTGTGCTGAACAGTTCTGTGCTCATTGGTTCAGAAATCACATTTTCTTCTTCTTTGCCTACTTACAGTTGGAGGCTGGTCCCTGGTGAACATTCCCCAGGTGTGCCAGCTCATGTTGTGTCGGAAGCTGGGATGCTCCGATTCTCCGAACCCATAGATGTACTGGGACGCCAAGCGGGTGGAAATCTGGATGAACATGTCACTGAAGGTGAAGGTGGGCAGGCCTGAACTCCAGCTGAAGTGGGAAGAGGAAAGGGAAAATTAGAACACAGCATCCTCAGGGCTGTGTTTCTGGCAGACACTTCCTTTACTCCACTCTTTTTCTCTGGAAACCTCACTCTTCAGTAAAATGGACTAAAACTGTTGTGGTTATCAAAAAACTTAAAGGACATGAAATGGGGTATAAGAATTGCTGAAGAGTTTAGGGACACCAAATCCTCTGTGTCATTCAGAGAGGAATAGCACACAGACATCGTGCCCTGCAAGTTGTGTCATATTTTGGCAATTTAGAGAGAAAATGCATTTCAGGACACTGCAATCCTATTTTCCTTCCAGACCGAGCACTGGAGCCACATGAAATATAGTAAACAAAGTGCTTTTTACAGTTCACTGAGCTTTCTGTGCAGATTACACTGGAATTGCATTCACAGGTCACATTTATTATAAATCAGCATCTTTCCAGTTAGAAATCAAACTGCAGCCTGGTGGGCTCTGCCAGAGAATTTCGTCATTCCAGGAGCTTCAATTACAGGTTGAATTATCATTCTGGTTGGCAAAGGGAACTCAACTTGCAATTAAGTTCTGAGTACTTAAAAAAATTAAATAAAATTGTTTTTTTGAATAAAAAACATAACACACTCAACTGTTCTCCATTTTCTAACTCTGACTCAATCAAGGAAAAATGAAGCTCCTGCCAGACTCATCTGTTGTGTTACAAAAACCCATCTCAAAGTAGTTGGGACACCACTTCCCACTATTTTTTTCCTTAACCATTCCCCAAAACTGACCCAAATGGCCAATCCTGAATGAGCAGTGCTGTGGTCACCTAAGGAATATTTTAGGAACTGTCCAAAATCCTTTTGCCTCCCAGAAACTTGGGGATCGCACAAGGAACAGCCTGCAGAGCCGCCAGCGTTCTTCACTCCAGCACGTGCATGGGGAGAGGGTTTGGCATGAAAAAAGCTACCAAAAACGTGTGACACAAAATAACAAAGGGTGGCAGTGGCTTACATGACCGTGCCCGTGCTCCTGCGGCGCACTTGGATCCCGAAGGGTTTGATCTGGAGCGAGACGTCGTAGAGCCGGTCCTGGCTCGAGCTCGTGGGGGAGCTGGGGAGGTTCAGGGGCACGGGGACCTCGTACCGTGGGTTTGCATAGTCATAGATCTGTGAAGAAAAAGTCACTTTAGTTAAACAAGTCAGTTGTTCAAAGTCTGAATCTGATGCAGATTTTAAAATACCTGCTGTGGTGAGTATTTTCTTTCAAATGCATATTCTTGACCTCTCACAGGATTTTGTGAAAGTTTCAACCAACGAAACTTAAAGATTTCTTTTGGATCAGGAATGGTTTGTCTAATTATGAATGAATTTAAAGTATATACTTATATTTAGAACATAGGTGTATATACTTCGGTGTATATATTTTGGTGTATATACTTTTAATTTTCTAGTTCTTTTACTCAACCTTTAGGATTCTTTTTCAGGTTTTCTGTATTTTGAAAGCTGATAGAAGTTAGTTTTTAATGTCTGACCACTTAGCTCAATGTTGTTAAACACATGGCAATAAATTACAGTTAAACAACAGTGCATGGACAATTTTAAAACAGAAATGCAATGGTGGATGTAAAAATAAACTGTAGAGTCATGAGAGCACTTACAGATAAATTTACCTGCATATTAACAAAATACTTTCAAAGTTCCTGGTTGACATTACACACATACACTGGCATTATACATTTGATTCATGTAATTTCTTTTTAAAATTAAGTGCTAGGATTCTAGAACAAAAAAAAAAAGATGCAAGCTAAGAGCAATAATAATTGCTTAGAAGGAGAGACATATTTACACAAGGCTGCTTCTGTCTGTGAAATATAAATTTGGCCATAAAAAGCCCTTTGAATTTCCATAAATAAAACATTTGAGGAATTCTGGGATGGCATTACCTTAAACTGCAGCATGTTGTTGTGATGGTATTTCACCTCCAGGCGCAGGGTGCTGATTGGGGCAGTGTAAGCATCGTTAGCCCTGGCCCTGACCCTGGAGTCATCCAAGGTGAGGGTGGCTACAATTCCACTGGAGGAATAATCAACCTTGTCTACAAGGTAAGGATTGCTGGAGCTGTAGTAGCAGGAAGGAATATCTGGATTTGATGTCTCCTGGTGCAAACAGAAAGGAGTTTCAGGTTAGCAAATCAGCTAATCAGGATTTTTTATTAGCTATTAGCATGGAATCCTGTTTTATCAGATCTGTGTCAAATGTAGAATTTGGGGGGGGGGGAAATTAATGGAATCCTTTAATTAATGGAATATAAAGACATAATTAAAAAAATAAATTAATAAAGACATGGAATATAAAGAAATAGTACAGAATAATCTCTGTGCTGACTCAGGTGTAATAAAGCCATCCAGTGAAGGCTGTGCAAATATTTCAGTCAGGAAACTGAATCCTCATGCAATTAAGAAGGATTTAATTTCCCCATCTCTGTGATCTTCAGATCAATCCCTCAACATGGTTTAATCTTGGCTTGTGGGAACTCCTAAACTTCGTCCCTTTTAATCCCATTTCTCTCTGGCCGCCTCCAAGGAGATGTGCCCAAAAACCATTTCATACTCAGGCAGCATCAGAGCAGATCTTTCCACTGGCTTTATTCACACAAATTATCCTTAATATATCCAGTGAAAATTACATCCTACTCATCTGAGATCTCCTGACATTTCCAAATGTCCAAAATTATAAAAAGTCCTTTCAGTAGTGCAACAAAACCAGAGCAGCTCATCAACTGCCTCAGCAGGTGCTGGTGCAGGAGCAGCCAGCACTGAATTTTGGATTTCATTCCTACAGGAAAGGCCCAAAATAGGCATTTTAGATTTAGAAGAACAGAGAATAATTTAGCTGTAGGCACCTTCTGAAGTTCAACCTGCCAGGCCACGTTGCTCCCACATGTTTATTAATAATTAATAATGATACATAAAACCATGTGTTAAAGAACTTCATGTTGGAGATGAAGGTTTGAAAGCAGTTCCTTGATGCAGATATAAACAAGCTTACAAATGAATCAAAATTTTTGTGGAATTCAAGGATTTCCTCTCAAACTGAGATCCAGAGGAATTAATTTGACTTAAAATGTCCCTGAGTGACACAGAGGTGACAAAAAGGGGCTGAGCCTTGCAGGCCATGGTGGCAGAAGGGGCAGCTGAAGATGCTCTTCTGCTTTTTCATAACTCTAATATTATTTCTGTTCATCTTTCAAGAAATACCTAATTTTTCCTCAACTCCTGATACAATGTGGTAGAATTTAAATGGTTGTCAGCTACTGAGGTAAATAAAATCCATCAGTACAGTCCAGCTGAGTCCCATTTTATTTAAACCTGACAAATCTCTCAGACCACTTTTATTCTGTAACAACCACAAAGGAAATCCTTTTAGTCTGGATTTTTTTTGAGTGTGTACAATTAGTTAGGAGGAATAATGACTTACTTCCCAGGAACAGCCAAGTTGTTGACATTTTTCTTTTGTTGCATTAGGGCTGGGATGACAATCAAATCTTTCATTGATATTCATATTTAGAGTCCATTTGATTGTGTAAGATTTTCCCAGTTCAAGCTGAAGTCCTTTTATAACAGCAACCTTATAAATACGAAACAATGAACAGTTATTAAATGTCACATTCCATCCAGCTGTTCTTCAGTCAGAAGTGGTGCTGGTCCTTAAGAATAATATACTTGAAAATTTAAAATTCACAAAACCCCATCCTGTAAGATTTGATACAGTCTCACTTTTACAGACACACACAATGGATATTTTTACAGATAAAATCTGAAGAATTAAGACACTAAAAATATGGAGCTAATCCCACATGTTCCTTGGAAGCAAACAGGAATAAATACATGAAATAAACTGTCTGCTGCACCGTGAGCATAACTTAGATGCACTTTTACGCAGCAGAGTTTAATGCAATTGTACTTTTATTCTGTAATAAAATTCGCATTGTATTTCATTGAAGTAACATTGGCACTGGTTACTGTCCTTTGCAATATATAAAATAAAGTTGATGCAATTTTGAATATGTTTACTTTCCATTTCCCTGTTATTGCTTTACCTTTGTTGCAGGATCGTAGGTGATATCAGCAGTATAATCTTGCACAACATTGTTCTGAGACACAGAAACTGATGCTATTTCCTTGGACAATCCCAGTATCTTGATTTCCTCAAATTTCAGGTTGTTTGGATCAGCATAATTGCTGTGTGTAGCAGTCATTTGTAGAGCATTCTGAAAAATAATACAGAGGTCATATTCTTCTTTCAAAAAATCTGTCAAAAGTCCTCCTGATTTAACTTTTTTTTTCCTATGAAGATTTTCACATTGTAGCATAAATAAACCAATATCTTTTTCCACACATATCAATTATTGCTCTGCTTGTTACTATCACAATAAAGCTTTTCTACCATGTATAAAATAATCCTCAGAGTTGTGTTTCAGCTTTTTTTCCTTGCTTGGGAAGTAAAGAAAGGCTGGGGTGGGTCTGTGGCAGGGCAGATAAACTCCAGACTCGCTGGGTTCCAACATCCAAAGGTTCTCACTTCTCTTGGTGTAAAAATGCCACTTCTTATTCCCTTCCATTAGTTATTTTTAGATTAGGAGTCCAAGCAGAGGAAGTGCACCATGGCTGCCACACGTGTGTGGAACTTCCTTATTGCCCTCCTTGGGAATGCTGAGGGTAATTTTTAACTCAGATGTCGTCGCTGCCAAGTCGTGGCTCAGCTGCTGGTGTTTCAAACTCCAACAGCAGCCTGGGTGCCTCACCTACAAATGACTCTTTAATTAATTATGATTCCAAAAATTGCTAATTCATGCTCCACTCATGCTCCTCTGCGTCTCTCACTTAGTTTATCGTCTTTCATCATGGCAAAGGAATGAATACCTTTAGCCGATATTAATGTTGTTATTATTGTTGTTGTACAAATAACATGTTACCATGCTATTGGCAATCCTTGTTTTGTGATAGTTAATGTTAGATAGAAACACTATCAGGACGCCACCCTGATGGCAATGAACCCTGCAAAGGCACTTTCAGCTTAAAATAACACAATAAAACTTAAAACTGATGTAGTTTCTGAGGGTTAAGGCAAGGTGTGGGTCTCCCTCACTCTTTGGAGACATTCAGCTGTATTTCCACAGTATAAAAATATATATTTTTACAGTGACACCATTTTGAGAATCACAAACACTCCGTGCTTCTCCTTTTTGACTCTGCTTTAAATGCTTCTTGTGCTTTAGAGTTCTCTTGTTCTCTTGCCGCCGAGTTTATTATGTGGAAGGAAATAGGAGTTATTTAGATATTTCTATTAAATAGGAGGAAAAAACACAACAGATTTCATCCCAGTTAAATGGGAGTATTTTGAACATGATTCCTCTTGGCATTGGCACATGTTTTGTTTTCCAGCAAATCTTACAGGAGAATAAAGAGAGAAAAGAACACTCTCAAAAGATACTGGATAAAAATCAGAAATTAAAATCAAATACTTACGTTGGAAACTTTAAACTCATAGTAAATGTAGGCTTTCTTGTCAATTGTATCTAAAAGGTAAAGAAAGAAGTTACAGATGGAGTGCAGAAAACAGTAAAATTAAAGTAGGGCTGTGCCACTGCTAGAGACCAATAAACTTAATTATCAGGTCTGCATTAAAAGCTGCACTAAGCAACTCAAATATTTACTAATGTTTTTTTGAGGAACTGAAAAGTCCCTTTTTCCTTTGGCCAGTCTCCCAGGAGATCTAATTTTTTTCCACAAAAATTCATTGAAAGCAGCTCTTCTAAAATGTAGTGATTTTTAAATTCTACTTTTATTTCTTCTTAGCTTTTCTTAAATATAGAAGTTTTAATCAAAGCTAATCCTTTAACATAACCTAAATAAGGATTCTTCATACAAAAATAATGGTGATGATGATGACAATAATAATTATAAATGCTATGAAACCATAAGAGAGGAAATAATACATGACCAGGAAAAAGAAATACAAAGCGTGGTCAATCTGGCTTCTTCTTCTTCTTCTTTTTTTTTTTTTTTTTTTTTTTTTTTTTCCCCAAATACGAAAAGACAAATCCTGCCATCACAAGCAAATTGCAAATGGTTCCCCTGTAAAACTGCAACCTGTAAGTTTTGGGCAGGCCATAAAATGATGGAATGTTTTATTGCTCTGTTTGGCAGCAGCAGCGAGGGCAGTAATGGCTTTGTTATTTTAGGCCAGAGGAGCACATGGAGCTGTCACCCCCATGCACAGCAGCCACCCAAGGCCTGCTGGATTTATGGCAGCAATAATCAGCTGAATCACTGCTCTATGTCTTAAAAGCAGCCCCAGCTTCCACTAAATTCCAAAAAGCAGAGGCTTGGGAGTTTTCCTGGGAGATACGATTGGTGTAGTCCACAAGAAAAAGGAGTTGTGCAAGTGGAATGTGTGAAGTTTTCCAATACTGGTGTTCAGACACCTCCCTAGATGGGCAGTGGTTTGCCTAAATCCCATGGGAAAATCCCATCCTGTCACCTCCTGACAATCTAAAGATTTCTCCTGAAAACCAGACTTAGAGTAGAGCCTTGTGTCTTTTTTCTTTACTTGTGTCGAATTAAGTCGTGACTTCATTCTTACATTAATAATAGTTACAGTTTTCTGCTTCGAAGTGATGAAAGCCATTTGATTTATGAGCAAGTAGCAGCAGTGTGTTACAACGCCTTCTTTTCAGCAGGAACATTGAAATCTGAGCACATTAGATCTTTGTTAACCATATTTATTTCACTGCTGGTGGCTGCTCACCTGTGGATTCTCCATCATCCCAGAACAAATCCCCAGAAGCTTCATTGTTGATATCCAAGGCAATTATGAGTCCCAATGGATTCTTGCGGCTGTGGGAAGAGAGATTTATGTGTGTAACAAACATCTGAACATTCTTGGTGCATCCTGCATGTTCATGCAAGAGTGAAACACCCAACAGGGTAACAAACCTTGGAGAATTGCCTTAATAAGTTCAATCCTTGGTTTCCTTTCATTTTCATGCAAATTGATTAAAATACCCGGTGAGTTTACAAATCTCTATGCAAATAATTCATCACTAAAGGTGTGGAAGTGAGGTTTGGCTCACAGCCATTCACATTTCAAGGTGAAAATCCTAAATACAGTGGGCCGCTATTATTTGTAACCTAGAAGTCCTCAGCCCTGTTATGAGGGAAAAAAAAAAAAAAAGTTAAAAGTCTTCCATTTGGGATCCTACCTTGCCACTGTGGTGGTGTTTGGTTTCTGAGTAGGGAAAATGTATCCTCCTCTCAGGTGCAGCCCCATTTTGTCTCCTGGGGTTGGTATGTTTTGCCATACTTTCTTCAGTTGCATTGGTTCACCCTTATGGACAGAGATTGAAAAGAGAACAGGAATTCTGCATTACCCACTGCTGGGAGTGTTTTCTTAAGCCCTGAGTTTCATCAAATTGTTCCTTATAAAAAAAAATATCTATGGGCTAATGGGCAGGTAAAATAAAATAATTGCTTATCACTCTGATTTAATGTCATAATCTGAGCCCTTCCTTGAGCCACCAGTTCTTGTGCTTATCCCTCCAGCCTTCATCCCTTGTCTCCCAAGTAACCCCAAAGTCTTTCCTTCAGGTCTCTGTCCCCAAAGCAGGGCTGACAATCCTATTTCATCACATTCCCATTTAGAAAATGGTGTAATATCCCATAATATCCCTGCATTTCCTTACCGTGTCATACTCATACCACTCTGCATCAGGAAAGTACACACGAGTGGACTCCACACCCTAAAGTGAATAAAGAAACAACCTTCAGATTTCAACTTCATCAGATAAACTCAATTTTCCAATAAAGCTGAAGTTCAGTGTGAGAAAATAATTTATATTCCTACACTCTGCTCTTTCCTGGTGTTTAGGATGGAGTCCAGACAGGGGGAAGGGCAACCCAAGCAGATTCCTGCAGAGCTGCTGGGGTGTGACTGAATTGCTGCTCTGCAAAGTGGCAGCTCATTGAAAGCCACCCAAAGCCACAATGCTTCAAACCCAATGAACCAGATCCTATCCACGAGTATCTCTCTATCTTCTTTATTCCCATTTATTTTGGCCCTGGCACCTTCCAGATTCTTGCCTTCCCTTTCTGTCCTTAACAAATGTTTTATGTTCCTCCGTGGCAAATGTGTTGCTGGCAGGAGAAATCATTATCCACAAGATTCTGCCACAGAATAAGCCACAACCTTTTTGTTTTCTTGTGGTACCACAGAGAAGCTGAAATGCAGCAAGACAAGCTGACTCCAAAGGAAACTCAGAGATGATGTGAAGATGAGGTAAAGCAGAATATCAGACCAGATATCCTTGACTCCATAGAAGACTGGCAAACAGGAGTAGGATTTAACTGCAAGATTTTCTGTTTCAGCAGGGGTAAAAATGTGCTGTGGGCTCTCTCACTGGAAGCAGTAAATGAAGGAGAGAGGCTGGTGACTCAGACAGGTCCCAAACCAGCCAAACCTACCGGCTCAAGAACAGGGGAAATCAGCAGCCCAGGGCCCCACAGGAACTGCCTGTCGATGTCCCACGTTATTTCATCCGAGTAGAACCTGAATAAATGTGAAAGAAAGAGCAGAAATCGGTTTTTTGTGATTTATATCAGCAGCAACCCCAAGGTTTTGGGGTACAACCATGGCTAAAGGATGCCATATAAAAATCACCCCCTGATTAGGCCAAAATGGGGTTTCACCAGTTCGGAAGGCACCTATGGATAATCCCAATGTGCATTTTCAGAGGATAAAGGTTTAGAAAGTCCCCTAGCAGTATGAAATGTCTCAGATTTCCCTATTGTTTATAAATTCCCAGACTCACTCGTGGAGCAGTGGCCTCGTGACCGTGTCCCCTTGGGTGTGAGCTTTGTAGAGAAGCGTGTACAGGTAGGGCAGCAAAGTGTAGCGAATGTTCAGGTAATGCTTGGAGCTGTTCACCAGCAAGGAGTTGGGTCCAAACACAGCTGGATCTTGATGCTGGAAACAAAAATCCGCTGTTATTATTGCCAGAAACACTTTGCCAAAGGTGTGAAAAGCTGTTTCAGGGTGGCTGGGGTTCTGTGGGGCAGCTCTGCACTGGGTTCTCCTTTCTGCTGCTGTGACCTGGTGTCCTGTCCCTCTTGGGCTGTTTGCACTGCCCATCCCTCCTTGTCCATCAGGGGCATTCCAGGATTCATCCTGGCACTCAAGTTCGTGCCAAGGAGCTCCCAGGGCTTGGCCTGGTGGTTCACACAGACCTCGGTTTTTCTTGGTGATAGGAGCAACCAAAATTCATAAAGCTGTTGCTAGTATTCTCAATTAATCCTTATGGAGCCCAACCTCTCCCATCTATAATTTCATAAACACAGCTTAAGGTTCTGTTTTCGAGCTTCTCAGTGAGAGTGAGGATTAGAAGTGATATTAAAGGAAATGTGGTTGTGTAACACAAAGCAGCTTTGAACAGAAAGCTCAACTTACTATGACATGTTCACCGTTGTGGTTCCTGGAAAATGGGTAAAATGCTCCCACTTGCATCCATCGTCTGCAAAGTTCTTCTGTGGTGTCTTCACTGAAACCACAAATATCTGCTCCAACCTTTAAAAAAAACAATTAAAAGCATCAGAATGTGTTGGATGTACAGTGCACCTCAAAAGGTACAACATATTTGTAACTTTTCTCTCCCAAATCCAGCTACACTGACCAACAAATTAAACTGACCCCTCACTAACACTGCCTATCATTCTGCTTCTTCCAAATTTTACCTTCTTGTTTGGTAATCATAGGCACAGAATGGGAAAAAAAAGCTTCAAAGCCATTAAAATTTAAATCATAAAAAGGATTCTGGCCATTTCCCTTCTACGTGGATGTCTCTAATTTGAAATTATAAGAAAACCAGGAATTGTTTCACACCCCCCACTAGTGTTTAAAAATTACTAAAATAAGAGGTAGATTGGGATATATAAGATAATAAGTTTGTTACCCACTTTTATGTCACCACAGCCACAAAAATCCAACAGCCTAAATCAAATATTGATAATTGAAATGTTCAAAGGAGATTCCTAAAAAGGGTTAATTTTGAGGTACCAGTGTAAGTGGTTATTTCGAGAGTGCCTGGTTAGATAATCTGTTTTGAAAGGATTGCATGAACTGATGTCCTACATAAGGAATTCCAAAGAGGTTGAACTCCAGCATTCCAGGGATTGCCCATTTCAGCTGGTCCCACGTGGCTGCATTATCCCCCAGCCAGTGTCCCCCGTGCTTTCCTGATCCTGCAAAAGTGGACCTCGAGATGAGGAAGCTTCTCTTTCCTGGGAACAACACCTCAATGGCTCTGGAAAGGAAAGAGGCTGGAATTACACAGAGGAAAAGACAACTCGGACACTGACAATTCTGAACAAAGCAGACTTACACTTATTTGTACTCATAATTCACCCCAAGGATGCGGACGCCTTTGCGGGTGTGTTTTAGCAAAGCTCAAGATATTAATTTGAAATAATCTCTTTACACAGCTCTGGCAGCCACTTTGTGGCTTTTCCTACCAGCTCCAGGATGTGGATTTTGCCTTGGCTAAATTAGCTCAAATACAACACAGCATTTTCCAGGAATCTCATTCCTTTAGCAGTCAGCTCTCATGGTGCTTTGGAAAATACAAGTCATGGACTGTTCTGAAACCTTTCTGCAGGATTTTAGGATGCATTCCTTACTTCCTAGTGGATAGGGTCATGGAATATCCATAAAGATTGTGGACATCATATTGCTTGCCCCAGCTCTGCACTGCATCCAGGCAAAGTGTCTTGGAGTACATGACTCTGTCGAGGATCCCTTGAAGGAAGGAATACAAACAGCACAGGTAAGGTACATTTTATTATTAATATTTCCAATCTTTAATACACATTTATTACATTCGAGCCTGTTTTTGCTCATTATTCTTTACTCAGGCAGTTTGATTACTCCAAAACCAAAATGCTCCTCTTGGCTGTTGGTTTGGTTCATGTTTGCTCTGTGATATTTCCACTCCTGAGCTTTGCACCCATCCAGGGAACTGAGAACTGTGCTCTGAATTCCTGAATCACCATCTGACAGCACACTGGCAAAGGTTACTTAAATCTACTATTACTACAAACTATGAACTCCATTTTAGTCTGCAAATATCTGAAAAACTACTGACAGTGCAAGAGGATCATTGCATTATCAGACACAATTAAGGCAATGACAATATCCAGTATTTATTTGATGAGATAACAGAGGCAGTTCTATAAACTACACCTGAAGTATACAATACAAACACAGAAATATTTTCTGTCAATAGGAATGTCCAAACCCCAACCATAAGAACTACACTAAAGTAATGTTGTATCCTTGAAGGCAATTAACATTTTATTTGATATTTTATTACTCTGATTAAAGTAGCTGGACTTACTGGGAGTGTAAGGAGGGTAGTTTAACTCATTGTCTGCACAACCTTTTTTTGAGCCTTGAACAAAGTTGCACACTTCATTCATGTCCTGGAAAGGAAAGATGCAGGATGTAATAAAGTTGTCTTAAGTTCATTTCCCTAAAAGAAGTCTTCCAATCTATTCTGTCATCCTTTAAGGAATCATTAGTAGCTATTCTTCAACATCTCCTTTCTGATTGCAAAAATACCTTTTAATCCAATAGAAATTCAATGTAATAAACATCTGCTATCACCCATATTTTAAAAATAAAATAAAAATCCTGAGTTACTCACAATCCATATTCCATCATAGGGCACCATGTCATAGAACAGTTTGCACTCGTTCGCCCACCAGTTCGTGGCCTCGAGGCTGGTGTAGTCTGGGAACACAGTTTCCCCTGGCCACACCTGGAATATCCAAAGGAAAATAATTAATGAAACTTTGAATGAGGTTAAAAAACTGTCAGGATCACAGACCTGCTCAGGCTGGATGGGGTTGAAGAACACAAAGAGTATGAATTTCTTAACTTTGAATTTTTCAATTGCTTTTCTGTGAGTGAACAATACACAGCTGAGAAACTTCTCAATGGAAGTTAAGTTTATAAATTAAAAGGATAATGTGAGTTCTGGCTACCCAGTTGCTACTGGAAATAAATAGGAGCTGGTTGATGAAATGTCCCTTGAGCCTTCAAACTACCCTTTAATGTAAAAAAATGTAGTGTTAATGTGAAAAAAAAGGTTAATGTGAGCAAGTGTAATTTTAATTGTTATTTTAGTTCTATTTTTTCTTTAAAAAATTTAAATTTAAAAAAAATTAATTTTTATGTAGAATCAATGAAAAATACCTTTTTATTGTAAGCAATTGAAAAAAAAAGCTAAGAAAGGCTGAGAATTATCATAGTCTACAAGAGACCTTACAAACTTTGCTCTCACTGACAGATAAGCCCCCTGAGCTAAATTAAATAACAACATTGACAACAGATCAAATTCAAATGTGTAAAACCACAATTACCTCCCCAACCAGTGCTGTTCCATCTGACTCATTAACCCAGACATTTCTGTCTGTTCCCCTGACATAGCTTCCATAGGGACTTCCATCAGCCATTTTTTGGGTGCTAATAGCAGGATCCTAAAGAAATTAGAAAACAACAAAGAAAAGAAAAAAATCAGGATATTCCATCCATTATTACTGGCTGTAAATGAAAAATCACATAGAATAAGTAAAGAATAACAATAATGAATAACTGCAATGAAAGTGTTCACAAGGGAAAAAAGGAGTAATTAAGTGCTTACCAATATGATGATATATTTTTGTCCATGCTCATGCAAATAAGCTGCAAATTTAGGGAGGTCTTTGAATTTCACTTTGTCATAAGTAAAATCTTTCCTGTTCTCCATATAATCAATATCAATGACTTGGATATCCTGAAAGAGAAGGGAGTTCAGCTTTTCCATGAGAAGCGATAGGTAATGATTTTTATTATTTTTCTTCCTAAATATTAGCTGAATATTAGGGTATTTTTATTCTATTGAAGACATCAGGTTCATGGCCCCAGAAGACTAATTATAAAAGTTAATTGCACTTTGCCTTTGACTGTCAATTAAGAGTAATATATGGTTCCATAACTGTCCACAGGACAATAAAAAAAATGTTGCAAGAGAAGAAAAATGGACAGAGTTGGAAAGGATAAAAGAAAAAATATTACAAGAAAGTGTTTGAATAAATGTAACTGCAGTTAGATGGGACATTCCTAGACGGGATGAGACAATTCAATGTTCCACCCCTCATCCAATGTTCTGATAATGGATCTAACGCCAAAATGCACAAAAAACCTTTGACACCACATATTTCCTAACCCAAGCTGATGGAAAACGAGCCAGTTGTGGGATCTCGGAGTGCTCCCCAGCCCTGTACTCACGTGGGGCAGTCCAACAGCTCTGTTCCTCTCCACCACCTCCTTCACCTCATCCAGGGAGGCGTATCCATAGCGGCACAGCTGGAATCCCAGGTTCCAGTAGGCAGGCAGTGCTGGCAGTCCCACAAGCTGTGAGGGGAAAACAAAAACCCCACGTGCTGCTGGACACCCTGTGTCACCTCATCCCCTGTCCCTGCATCCACTGGTGCCTCAGGATTTGAGCTTTTCTATTTCCATGTATCTGTAGCCCTGCAGCTCTTGAGTGTGTAACTCTGAACTCCACACCCAGTGCCAGCTGCTGCTTCCCCATTCTGGGCAGACACAACAATTCCTCTCCAGGCCTGGCACTCAAGGACACCTCACTGCCTCAGGGCCAGAGATGGAAACAAAAGTGAGCTGGGGGAGCAAACTGGGGGTCAGTGACTGCATTAGCTGAAGCTGGGATTGGAGGATGAACCCCCAAAATGCAAATGGCCCAAATTTATCCAAGAGTGAAACCCGTGAGCCGTGGTGCGTTTTGGGTGCAGCCCTGGGGGGCTTGGTCTGCCCTGGATGTGCCTGAAGGGCCTGCAATAAACAGAACTGCTTTTTATTCCCTGCACTCTGCCTGCCCTCTGGTTTTAGGTAGTCCTGAAAAGGCCACACCTTTTCTCAAATTACCACATTTCTCAAATCTACTCCAATAGGACACACTAAATGGCAGCCTACTCCTAAATACAATATTCTTTCCCTATGATTTATTTATTTAAATAAATACTTGTATTTTGGGGCAATGCCAATTAAGGTGTCACTGGAACTGAGGAAGATCTTGAGAAGTGCAAAAGACACTCAGTGATATCTTGTGATCATAAGATCCACATTTCCTGTAAACACACTCTCTATCCCATAATATTGCCATATTTTCCTCATGACAAGAGCAAGGAAACACAAATTATTCTAGAGACCATCTCCAGCTCCAATGGCCACGGTGTAAATTACAGATTTATGAATTTTGGAGCTCCTGGGCCTGGAAAATGGTCTCCTCTCCAGCGCCCAGAGAAAAAGAATATGATAAAATAAATTCCAAGCACTCTGAAAAAATCTGTCCAATGCATAATCCCTGTAGGTAAAGGTACCTGCAGGTACTCCTGGACTACTTGCTCTGGAGTGTTCCCCAGGAAGATGTAGAAATCCAGGATGCCTCCAATGGTTCTGTAGGTCACTGCTGGAGCAGGCTGTACCACAAACTCTGCCAGACAAGAGGCCACAAAAACAGTTCTGAAGCACAGGAAATTCTAAAGTAACTTTTCTAATTGATGGTTAGAAAATTTACTGAAGTAAAAACCACAAAATGCCTAAAGAACCCTAAATCAGTAATTGAACTTGCAAAGCAGGGGAAATCAGTCAAATCTTGATGTGTCCCTATTTCCATTCCTTTGCATCCTACAGAGAAGAGCATCAGAAAAAATCCTATGGTTTAACCTTTTATCTCTGAATTTTCAGTACAACTTTCCAGCCCAAAGATGTGCAGAGCTCAGTAAACATAAATATAAATACACTTATCTGAAGGGATTAAAGGACGTTCCCTCCAAATTTAGTCTCTTATTCCAGAGCAGACCTGTACAGCCTTTGGATGAGTTCCTGAACCTCAGAATTCCATCAAATCCCTCCAGTTAACTGGGAGCTACTCACTGCTGGTGTTTGAAATGTTATTAGACACCAGGTAATGACTGCTCTTAGATATTGGGGGTGTTTTTAAGAAGGGACACTTACATCAGCTGAGTTTTATTGCAATAATTTCAAAAGAAATTCAACTTTCTCAGAGCCCCAGAGAAAGGTTTCTTACCCATGGCATTGCTGTTCATCAGGAAAACACCAAAGGATGCTCCAGTGTTGTCTTCCAAACACAGGAAGAAAGTATGGGTTCCATACAAGTTATCCATTGCCTAAAATAATAAAGGGAACAGGCAAGCTGATTAACATATAATAACAGGATCTGCTCTGGAATATTTCAAAACATATCACAGGTAGGACTCAAAACATCTCAAAATGGAGCAAACAGCAGAAATTTGAGTCCTGACACTTCCCCGTTTTATATGTTCTGTTTTTCCTGGTGTTATTCTCCTTCATTTTCCATTAAAACAAGAATTTACCCAATAAATAGATAACATATCTGATGGATCTGCAGGAAAGCTGGCAGATATTGCAGCTCTGTTTCTGGGGAATAAATGTGCTCAACAAGAACTTGAGAGGTTCTTCCATCCCCTTTCACCACAGATTAGGTTTTACATCTAATCTATATTTCTATTCATCCTACAATGCAATAATTTTGATGCCTAATCTATGGAAATAGGAGAGTGCCTTGCTGCTTTTTAATTTCCTTTCTAATTATTTTTTTATTTCTGCTGTTATTATTAGCAACGTTACCCCTGAGAGATGCTAACAGTTGTTGCAATAGTTGCGCTTTTTCTCCTGAAAAAGCAAATTCAGTTCAAATGAACAAGAAACAGAACCTGAGCAATTTGAAATCAGCCTAATTTGGTGCTGCTCAGTGTTATTTTTGCTTAATGAGTCTACACTCAGTGGAGCCATTCAGTTAAGAACTATCTTCAATCCAGAGCAAAGAGTGAGGAGGAATCTCAAGGCAATGGGTACAAATTCCAGATTATTAATTAACTACATGCAGACATCTCACCCTCAGGTTTCAGTCATTTATCTCCTCTTGCAGGAGAACAAAAGTTCTCTTGAAGCAGGGAGTTGCTTTATGAAGCTGAGGTAATGGTGAAAATAATCTCACAATTATCAAAAAATGGGTGTCTTTTGCTTCATAAAGGGACAGCCAGAAAACTCTAGCAACAAATAACAGCTGACAGACATATTTTATCTTGGAAAGAAAACAGTTGCTAAGGAGAATTTTTCCATAATTTGAGTTCCAAGGATGTTGCTGAAGCAGCCTGGACCATCTGAACTGAACCCTGCCCTCAGCAAAACCTAGTGTTATTTATTCATATGTTATTTATTCTGATTATCAGTAGAAGCTGGAGACTCATCTATTAAGGTTTATCCACTGTTTTTCCACTGCACACCAACACAAAAATCAGGGAAAACCCATCAGTACCACGGAGCTTTTAGCAACAACACGCAGTGCCTGAAAAATCTCCAGGGGAAACTCAGTGGATTCACGAATTGAATTTGGGAGGTTTGGGTGACAGAACTGCGAAGATTGAGGGGAAACCACCCCAGACTCACTGCAGAGGGGCCAGTGTCCCTGCTGAAGAGAGGCCAGGTTTTCCAGTTGACATCGTGCCTGTACTGCTTGTGCACGTGCTCGCCCACGCCGTAGATGTTGCTGCTGGGCAGTTTGATGGAGAGCTGCAGGAACTGCTCAGCGTACTGCAGGGGCCCAATGGTGGTGTCAAACCTGGTGGAAAAGGGCAAAATAAATGAGGAAAAAGGGAAGAGTTTTACCGAGAGTTGTTGCAAGGACTGTTTCTGCTCATTCAGCTGAGCTGGGTGGCAGAGTCATGTCCCCACCCAGATCTTTCAGGTGTTCTTCCAGATGCTGTTGGAATCAGAACTCTCTTTTGGGGTCTCAAGTGGAACAAAAGATGGTGTAAGATCACAGACTTTACCAGAATAATCAGGATTTTGGTAATAAACTGTCATGACATATTGTCCTTCTATAAAAAGGCCTCCCTTTTGTTGGGCTGTTTAAGAGCTGGGAAAATCAGTGCAAACCTTGTGCAAAGAAATTTATCAAGGATTTATCTCTGCCCTTATCCCATGGTAGCAACAGCTTCCTTTGAGATCCTCAAACTCAGAGTCCAACACCAGTGTCATTTTTTCTCTAGAGACCCAAATGCAAATACTTTAATGAAAATAACAAAGGCCTAAGGAAAATTTTCCAGAGACAGTATTCCAGAGAATTGTTTCACTGTGGTCCCTCAGGTGTCTCATCCCCCTCCCTGTACCTGTTTAATCAGTCAGGCACTGCTGACTGCCAACTCCATCTTCTGTGCCCTCTGTAATTGCAAATCAATCATTACAGAGGATTCCAAGCAAGAAAACAATACTAATAAGAGCAAAAAGCAACCCTCAATTAATGAAACTCAAAGCCTTGCTAATCCAAGTGGCCCAGCCCTGTGCCAGGTAATCATTGCTGGCTGATTTAATAAGCACCTTCAACTTGGCTCTTCCCTGCTCTGAGGGCACTTGGACACCTGTGGGTTGGTGGGTTTGGCTTCATTTATTTCTTTTTAGAACATAAATGGGATGAGACAATCCAATGTTCAAGTTCATTAAATATTTTAGACACGGCCTTACACAACCAGCTGTCCTTGGACATCACAGGTGTAAAGGGCAGCGTGATTTTGGTGGTGATACAAAGGGCAGCCTGATTTTGGTGATTCAGGGCCTCAGCACAAGTGTAGTAAAGAAGATAAAAGGTAAAGGAAGGTAAAAAAAAAAAAAAAGGTGAAAAGGTAAAGAAGATAAAAGGTAATCAGGAATTTTCCCACATGGCTTGAGGTGCTGGCAGAGTCCCTCAGGTAATAAAAATTCCCCATATTGAGATTTCCCCGGCACTGGGGGAACGTGATCTGAGAGCCACACCTGAAACCCTTCAGACGAGCTTCCCACCTCAGACTTTGTTCCCAAAGTCATGCCAAGAGTCCTTGAGGGACTTCCACCAGTCAAGAACAGAGAAGTAGAGCCTATGCCCAAGAGAACACCTCATAGGTGACATCTGGTGTGGCACCACCAGCTCTCAGGGATCCCTGGTGACATCTGTGCCACCAAGGAAGGCCCACCAGGACTCACAGCACTTTGCCATTGCTGGCTCTGGTCACCACGAGGCCGAAGGGGTTCTGCTTCAGCTCCACCTTGTAGTTGGGGTTGGAAGCCATGGATCCCTCGAAGGGCTTCACGTGCTCATGGGGGACCTCAAACCTTCGAGTGTTAGGGTCAGTGATCTGCACATATTGACACAATACAAGCGTTGGGCCTTTACAAAATTAATCCTCAATACAGATATTTTCCAGCACTACCCACAGTTCTGACTCAGGGTATTTCCACCCTTATCCCAGTCTTCTCCTCTGCTTTAATTGTTATTCACTTCCAAGTTTAATTACTCATTTTCAGCCATTTTCTTCAGAATATCTGACTCTCAGGAACCCACCACAGGACAAAGTCTCCCACAGAAGGTTCACAATCCCACAAGCCACTGGTACCCCACATCCATAGCACAGACTCTTGAGCTCTCCATGGAAAACACAAACCATTGGAAAAGCTAATATTGTCTGTCAAAATGATTGAGTGATGTGATTGGGCCACAAACAAGAAATAAGTAAATACATTTATCCCTCCCAAATCTTCCTGTGATGAGGACAAATGGTAGATAATAGAAAAGCTGAGCTTTCCAGAAGTCTCAGTGATTTTTCATGCAGAATTCCCACTGTGCCAAGTGCCTGTGGCATTGCAACAGCAGGGAGAACTTCAGTGGGAATCGTGAGAGTGCTCCAGAGGCATCAGTCCTGCACTCCCTGCACAGCAGCCCTTGGAGCAGAGGAGGACAAAGCCTGACCTTGAATCGGAAGCGGTTGTTCGTCTGATACTCCGCCGTGAGCAGCACGGTCTGGATGTCATTCCCGAAGAGGGAAGGGGATGGCAGCCTGTCCAGCGTGGCCTCAAACCCTTGGGAGACAAGCATGGGGTGTTGTGTGGGATGGGACAGCACGAGGGGGAGCTGGGGGCCCAGCCCGGAGCTCACCTGCCCTGGTGGATCTCTGGGAGCCCCGCACTTGGTAGCCGTGCTTGCGGGAGAAGAAGCACCAGGGAACATTGGCGTCGCTCTGGGGGCTCCAGCAGCAGCCACGGAGGGAGCAGGTGCTCTGAGCAAGGACAGGAGGGGCACAAATCAGCTGGGGTTGCACAAACAAACCCACACCAAACCACTTAAAGTGCACATTTCACCCCAAACACCAGGAACCTTAATGATTTCTGCACTCGGGTCAGAGCCTCCTTTGAAAAAGCCCATGGAGTGAACTCAGTGGTGGCACAGAAAGCACTAAATAGGGTTTTTTATGGAATCAGAGTAAGCAAAACCCCGTGGAGTGAACTCAGTGGTGGCACAGAAAGCACTAAATAGGGTTTTTTATGGAATCAGAGTAAGCAAAACCCCGTGGAGTGAACTCAGTGGTGGCACAGAAAGCACTAAATAGGGTTTTTTATGGAATCAGAGTAAACTGATGTATTGGAGATGTATTCTTTCTTAAGACCACAAGATGCACAGGTAAAATAAATATTTTAAAAGAGTTATTGGAACATTTGAGCTGTGACAGATATAGCAGAGCCACCAAAAGCCACGCACTGTAGAGGGGGTGAAATTTATCACGGGATTAACATCTAATAAACATCCATATCGGCATAATTGAACATTGTGTATAATATCCACATTTTAATGTAATTTTCCAGTATTAGAAATAGCCAGACTGCTTCTGCATAACCTCAAATTAAGATAAATATATATTTTTTAAAAAAAAACCCTATTTTTTCAAGCCTCTGTCTCTCTCAGTGTAGTGGCACCATGCTTTACACACACATTCACTAGAAAGCTGAAATTCCTTTCCGTTGTTGTTAGAAATTAACCTGTTCACGTACTCTGTGTGTGAGGTTTATGTTTGGAGATAAGACTGGGACAATGAATCACAAAAGTTTCCACCCATTTTCTCTCCTTAAACCCCCATTCATTACTTAGGGCAAAGGACAGTGGCAAAACAACTCTCACTGAGGGCAAAGGGTGATTCCATCAGTGATCTCAGGTACCCAGTTCCAAAAGGGACACCCTCCAAAGCTCACTTTCACCTCTCCACTAGCAGAAGCTCTTTCTGCCTTCATCTGATCATGCTCAAATGCTTTTGGTACTTGTAATAATTATTCAAAATATTCTGCAGCTCGAAATAAGTGGACATGACACCAAACCTTCATTGTTGCTGTCCTTGTTTTGGGGTTGGATAGTCCAAACTGGTCAGTGCAGGTCAAATTATTTTAAGAGGCTCTGGGCAGATAAAAGATAAGGCAGCTGCAGCCCAGCAATCAGGCAGATGCTGAAGGAAGCACTGAGGGAGCTCACAAAGCCACTGGCTTGGGAAGTCTCAGGGAATTTATTTGATAGTGGTTTTACAGAGCACAGAAGCCACTCAAAACCACCCAAAACAAACCCCAGATTCACCAAACAGGTAAATGTTTTTCCTCTCTCTCTTAGATTCATCCCATCAGAAAACATTTGCTGTCGTTTCCATCGGGTTCCAGGCCAAAAATAAGGGCTGAAGGAGAGCTGCAGGGACTCATTTCCCCCCTTTGGTACACACAGCACTTTGTAAGGCTGTGAAAAACCCAGGCTCACTTCCCACCTCCCCAGATGCCACCTGAGAACTCCCCATTTCCCATTTATAAACCATGGCAGGGGAAAGGAAAGGAAGCACCGAGTCCTCCAGGAGTGCAGAGATCTCAGCTTTATCTCCTTACTTCATTTCCCTCACATACAGGGGAATATCCTAAATGTAAGAACAGCTTTACTACTTCCATCCTCTCCTCCCTTCTCAGACCAGTGACCATCCCATAAAAAGCAGAATAAACTGGTTTTCCTAGAATCTGGCAGCTCAAGCATCCACATTCCCAGCTTCCCAATCATCTTTTTCTTTTCCCCAGCTATTTCTCCTGAATACTCCTCAACTATTTTCAGCAGTTTCTTCACAGTCCAGTGATATTTTTCCAGCTGGATCTTATCCTGGCAGATTTCCATTTTTGTGGCATATTGAGCTTTCTGCACAAGGAAGTAAACACAGGAGCAGAGGGTTGGCTGTGCTTGGCACAGGGGAAGGAGCAGAGTTCACCAGAGACACTGGGGAGCCTGTTGTAAAAGCAATCATCTGCTATAAATAAAGATGTGATCCCAGGCTGGGGGCTGTAAAAGCAGCACAATAGATACCAGCACCTAAAGCTTAATTAGGAATAAGCCTTTGGAACCTGTGCACACTGGGGTGCAGCATGGACTGAGCACAAGGGCTCCAAAAAGAGCCTGGCCACGTGCTGAACTAAGATGTGCTGCTCTGTGCATCCACACAGGCCTCCAGCAGCAGGGCATTTTGGGAAGAAAAGCACAGAAACCAAGCCCAAAGCAACAATTCCCCCTTCCCTGAGCTTTCAGAGGTGTCAGCCTGGCCTACACAAGCTCTGCTCAGTGGAATTCTTGTTTTACTGCTGTGTTCTGCTTGTCTGATCAGACCTCCAGGCAATTTTCCACAGCAGTGAATAGATCCTAAATATCTTCCTTAATCCAGCATCTCTATCTTCACCAACCACATGATCAAATAAAAAAATCTATTTATTTTCTTTCTTTCTCTTTTATGCATTTCTTCCTTTCTTCCTCTTCCGCCTTCCTTTCTTCCCTCATTTATCTTTTCTTCCTTTCTTCCTTCCCTCATTTGTATTTTCTTTCTGCCTTCCTCTTCTTTTCATTCTTCCGTTTCATTTTCTTTCTTCTATTTACTTCTCATTTCTGCAATCCTACTCATTTTCTGTCTCCTTCCCAGACAAGGAGCTCAAGGCAGACCCTAACCCTTCTAGATCAGCTTAGCCAAACCATTTTTCCCAGCTGCTGTTTATTCTGGAAACCACAAACACAAACCACTGTGGAGCAGTGATGCAGGACCTGCAGTTTTACAGATTCCTGCATTAGTGCAGCCTGACACAACCAAATCACTTCCAGGGCAAAATGAGCACAGGGGTGAATGGAATCACTGGGATGAGATTCTGGCTTTCCCCATGGAGTAAAGGTGATATTTATCTCTAAGCCTGTCAAATCTGCTGCCTGCTCTTCACTAATATTCAGAAATAATTTATTTTACCTCTAATTCCAGATCAGGCACCCGCAGCATTGCAATCTGCATCTACTTTTCGGCTGGGAGCCATGATTTGATTGTTTTTAATTCTCTCCTACCACCAGCCTTGCAGCTGCAACCAGAGCAGCACTGCTCCCCTCCCTGCTTGAGGAGCGCAGCCCTACACGTGGGGTGACTGGTTCAGAGGCAGTAATTACAGATTTAAATGATCTGCATGGCTTCTCCTGCAGTGCTCTGCCTGTTCCTGGGGCAGGGAAGGAACCTGGAGAGGCGAGGAACAGGCTGTGATTTGAACCTTTCCTAACCCATCCCCTGCAGGACTTTATTGAGCTACAAATCATAACAAAACCCATGGCAGGAGAGGCTTTAACAACAACCAGCTCTGGAATTAGGTGGGAATTTCCTCCGAGGTTCAGACAGCTGGGTAACAATTTTTATACCTCTGTGAATGACAGAATTAACACACATCACACTGGGTTTTGTTTTTTTCCTCCTAAGTTGCCCCTCCCCAGATCAAAGATAGATACCAGACATCCACAAGAAAACAAGAAAATCCATAATAAGGATGAAAAATAATAATTATACTAATAATAGTCTTTCAAGAGTAACTATTACAGAAAGGTTCTCAGTGTGAAAGCACTGAAAAATAAAGGGCATCATAAAATTATGGAAGGGTTTGTGTTGGAAGAGACCTCAAATCTCCTCTCACTCCAATTCCTTCCATGGGCAGGGAAACTTCCACCATCCCAGGCTGCTCCAAGCCTCATCCAGCCTGAGATGATTCTTTTCACTGGGAATTTTAACTCCAAGATTCTTAAGCCAAAAGATCTTTTCCATGCTCTGCTCTCTCAGACACCCCAACCAGACTGGGATCCAAAGTGGGTCTGAAAGGAAACTCTGACCACACCTTGAACATTGTAAAGTGGCACATCTCAGCAAAGGCCAGCATTTCTGAATTATTATAAATGCCACTTTTTGACCATCACACCAAATGAAACCGGTCAGAAAAAGCTGTTAAAAACCAAGGGTGACTCTTAACTGCTTGATGTCTGACCAATACTTTTCCACCTCTCCTCAAACCAGAGAAATCCGACCTCCTGTCAGTGGGGCTGAAATGGCTGTGAGGAGTGGAGCTCCCCTGCAAACACTGGGAAAATCACACATTTAAACAGGTTAAGGGAACACCTGCTCTGGTAGAGACAAATGACATTTTTATAAACAAGCAGGATGTTTTATGGGATGAAATCTCTTTTTCTAGTGTTTTCCAGAATGTTACCAGACCTGTGTTGCTAGTTGATCTGGGATGCAGTCAATTCTCTCTGCTACTGGTGTATTCTGACATTGTGGGTAAAAGTCTGTCAGGGAAATAAAGCAATGGGTTAATACCAGGATCTCTAAACTGCAGGAATAACTCGATTCCCTCTGAACTCAGCATTCCTGCTGCCTGCTTCCCTAACAACAACAGAGATCCAAATCACTAACAACCATTGTTTCTGTGATTCATTTTTACCTTTGGAAAATGGCACACAATTATTTCAGATATGAAAACATCACTGTAAATTTTTGAGCATATAGGTAATTTTGATAATTTTATTTCATTAGTCCACTTTTCAGTGACTCTTGTCAATGTGTTCTGCTTCATTGAAAATATGTGCAAAACTAAAAATTGGAAGAAGTTTTCTCTTCTTAAACTGGGTTTTCATTGTTCTCCTTCCCCTGAGCCAGAGTTTTCCACAGGAGCTGGAATTGGAGCATCAGGGAAAAGTACCACCATTAAAATGCTCCTTTAGATTTCAGGTTTGTGGGGCTGAATTAAAGGTGGGCAGCTTTAGCTGATGAAAGGGAGCACTGAAGGTTACTTTATGTATTTGAGAACTGTTTATGGCTGGAACAAGGGCTGTGAAGTGCAGGGATGTGCCTTGGGATGAGATGGACACACACCCCCAGATTTGCCTCTTTGCATCAGCTGCATTTGTGCTTTTTTTCTCAAGAAAACTCCTACTCATGACAGAAATAGGAAGAAAAAAATTAAGATATTAGTCTGGATGGGCAGTTCTACTAAAACACCCAGGTGTTTGCCTTATTGTATAAGCAATAATTTTTATTTTTCTGCCATTTTCACCCCCAAGCTTTTTTGCTCCAGTCCCTGTGTGTGAACAGAATTACACAAAATGGGACTGGAAGTGAAGCAGGTGCTCTGCATCGCATCCCTGGAACACAAGGGTTTCCTGATTCATCAGTGCATCAGCAAGAAACACTGGGGGATTTTAGGATCATAATAATGCTCCACACGATGTGGCTGCTCCCACCTAGGGACCGGGCAGATTTTTTTCGTAGTTATCTTTTTTTTAATACTCCAAAAATTGAAATTATCTGAGCTCTATGTTCCTAAAGAAAGTCCAGTCAGTGGAGGGAGAGATAAAAGGTTTTTCACGCCAAAAAACCTCGACTCACAGCATTTATTGCATTCATAACTTCGATAGTATCACCCGCAGGAAGGACTGCCCATGATTCACCCCCGGGTAGCGATAAGAGCATTTGGATGCTGATAAGAGCAGGAGCCCTGAGGCACATGCCACTCGGGTTCCTGCTCCTGCACAGCCCTGGGAAGCTCTCACCTGGAGATTTGACTCCGGGTTGCCCCGTGGCCAGCAGCCCAATGAGGACACAGGCGATGACAGTGACCAGGGTGAAGAGGGCAATCAGGGTGAGCTCCAGCCCACTGAACTTCCTGCCCATCTAGAAACCCAGAGAAACTCCATCAGCCAAAGTGAAACACAAGGAACAGCTGTAAATTACATTTCCAGTTTGTAAACGTTGCTAATTTAATGAATTGTTCTGGTTTTAAGCCACATCACCTAATCCTGAGGCTTAAATAAAACTCTCCTTAAAGACTAAGTGCAAATTATTTCAGGATAATTCACCCAGTGCAGATTATGAAATTATTACACTGACAAATGTATTTTGGTCCCAAATATTTAAGTATTATTACACTGACAAATGTATTTTGGTCCCAAATATTTAAGTATTATTACACTGACAAATGTATTTTGGTACCAAATGTATTTTGATACCAAATGTATTATGTCACTTAACACAGAACAATTCGCTCCTGAAATTAACCATGAAGTTTCCCACAGGTCACTAAAATTCCTGAAACAGAAAACAAATAAAATCTTCTTCCTCTTTTTTTTTTTTACTTTTCTAAACTTTCTTCTCTCCTTTAGAGAAAACACAAGGTTATTCATTTAAAAAGGAGGAACTTTATTTTTTAAAAAATATTTTCTTTTTTGAGAAAAGCTGGAATAAACTCTGAGGGTGTGTCCAGGACACGTGGATAAGGCAAGACAGAGATAAATGGCTTTTCTGTACAGTGGCAGAGCAGATTGTGTACAACCTCATGGTTGCTGCTGGAATCACAACTGAAATATGGGAAATAACTCAGGTGTACAACCTCATGGCACAGTGGTTGCTGCTGAAATCACAACTGAAATATGGGAAATAACTCAACAGAGTCAGTGCCTTAAAAAGCTGTGGAAAACACCAGGTTTTCCCAAATTCCTTTTTTGTATTTTTGGTGAGAAAGGTGTGCTGAGCCAAGGGGGCTGTGCTGGCTCAGAGAACAACCCAGAGCCATCAACACTGAACTGTGCACCAGCAATCAAACTGATAATCAAAACTAATCAAAACTAATTAAATCTAATCTCAGCAGCCAGATCTACACACACTGGCAGCTACTACTGCATTTAACTTGTGGTTAAGGGCATTTAACCTCATAAAACAGAGTTAAATACAGAGAAATTGGTTCTTCTTAGTTAAGGAAGCGTGGGAGCACGTGTGCATTGCACTGGTACATTAAAACACTTTCATATGTTTTATTATTGACCCACAGAAGTGAAAAATACTTTAGAATTAACTATTTTGTGTGTGAAATAACAGTTTAAATCATTGTGTGCACCTGTTGCCATTTTTAACCCATTACCCTCTCTCCATCAAAACCTAAAATCCCCTTTTGCTGGGTTGCCCTAGATGGTATCATCCTAAAACTTAAAAACCCTAATGTTCATTTTTCTGAAAAGCAGGATTTTATTCAAGTTCTTATCATTAAAGCCTCCTATCTCATTGAATTTCAGTCTTTCTTCTCCTGGTCTCCCTCCAAACCCTAAAACACTAGAAATAAATCCTTATAATTTATAAATCTAAGTTCTGTTGTATGATGAGCATTCACCAGCAAGGCAAAGCTCTCCAGAACATTGGAATAAATAATATGCAATATAATAGATATTTAAACAACATAAAATATAATAATATATATTTAAACAAAATCTATATTTAAACAAAATGAAAGCCTTACCTTAATGTTTGTGTTTCCTTCATTTGCTGCTCCTGACTGTGAAGTTCAACATCAAACCTGGGGCTTTATGAGCTGCTGTTATCAGTTCTCAGTTGTGTTTGCAAAGCCCTGGGCCAATGGCAGGCACAGCAGAATTACAGGCAGATTACAGACACTCTTTGGACTAAACACTCTTTGGACTTCAATATGAAGCATCAGGTTCTGCAAAGGAGTGAAAAGCAGCCATGAAGTGCCAATCAGCTCATCCAGTTGCATGACTGGGTTTTTATTTAATCTGTTCTTTTTCCATATCTTTGTTACTTTAACCTTCATGGAGCCCTCATGTTCCTCATGTATTATTTCTGTTTAATCACCACAAGAAGTCATTAAACATTCTCAAATGAGGGAAAGAGCTGTTGAACATGTTGCAGGGGAGAATCAAATTTATGACCATTAAAATTTTTATTGGAATTAACTATAAAAGATTAATCTTAAATCAATATAAACAGATTTCAGGGGATAGCACTAATAAATGTCAAAAGCAGATGAAAAAGATGAAAGATTAACACAGAAGTGTTATACTTTTATAGCAAAGAGGCTTCAATCATAACCTTAATATGAATGCTTCACACCTAACTGGTTGTTATCTTTTTCTTGCAAATGATAGGTGGGATTCTAAGATTAAACCTGCATTTTCCACAGGAAAGCTTTCAATTCATATTATTAAAGTATTTACAAGTGATTTTTCAGTAACAAAGAAATGGCTGAGAAGTACCACTTGTATTTTTTGTACTGGTTTTTTTACTCCAATTCCTCCATCCCTCATCCAATTCCTCCATCCCTCACTCTGCCTGTGGAGCCCCAGGAATGAGAAATTTGGAATATTTCCTGATGAATCACAGAGGGAATGGGGCCCTTTTGCTCAGTCAGCACTTAAAGGAAGGAAAACCAACGGCACACACAGAGCACTGGGCCCTTTCCTTTCCCTTTTTCCTTTCCTTTCCTTTCCTTTCCTTTCCTTTCCTTTCCTTTCCTCAGGGACTCAGGTGAACAGACGAAGTTTCCAAACAAACCTCACCCCTCCTTTCCATGGGAACAACCCCTAAGTCCAAGAAAAAGCTGGAAATATTGCTACAAATTTCTACATATGTTCCTTTATGAGTGGCTATGAAAAAACCAAAATGGTTCGGTGTGGATTAAGAGGATGACAACGGCTGGGGAAGCCTGAGGGGTTTGTTTGATGGATATTTGTTTTTTAAAATTTATTTATTTCATTTGACTGTTCCAGGAAAGCCCTGGGCTCAGCACAGCATATTCCAGGGGTTCCATTTAACAATCTCCCTGCCATCAATAAAACCATTTGCCTAAGTGCTTCCCTGAAGTGGCAGTGCCACCGAGCTCTGTTATCCATCACCCAGGGAACGCTTCCCTGCCGCTCCAGAGCTCACGGCCAGAAACACCCAGCTCTCCAGGGAGGGTTTCCCAGCAGCTTCCCAGCCGAGGGAGCTTTGTTACTCCACAGGGGAGATCAGGGCAAGGTGTGAGATAAAGCTCCAAGGGGCAGGAATGGGGAAGGCTCCTCAGCCAGGGACACTGAGAGGCCGTAAAGACAATGAGAAATCCATTAAGTGAGGAGCTGGAGCAGCGTGGTCTCTGCTGGCTCCTGCTTTGGTTTCCAGGAATTCAGAGCTGATTCCTTTCTGACCAAAAGCTGGGAAGAAGAAGAATTGTTGGAAACCCAGGGGTACAGGCTGGGCTGGAGAGAATGGCACAGGAAAGCAATCTAGGAAATGAGGTACCGTTAAAAATGCAGTAATTTAAAAAGAGACATTTATCTCTACTTTGAACAGGTCCATTTTTAATTAAATCACACACAACTTGCAAAGCTTGTTAGCTGGGCAGAGTGAGCTCCCTGACATTCCTTCAGTCAGCAGGGCTAAAAATTGGAGTTTCAGCTACAGGACCATGCTAGGAAATAGAAAAGGCTCATGCTTTGTCTACAGTTTAATAAGGGAAATAGAAATGGCTTATGCTTGGTCTACAGTTTAATAAGAGTTGCTTTTTCACTGTTTTGGTGTCAAATATTAAATATAAGTTAGAGCTACAGCCCTTAATTTCTGTAAGAGTCTGTTGGCACATTTCCAGTCCAGCCAGGAGCATAATTGCTACCATGGAAGGATGTCTGGCACAGATCCAGCAGGAACACACTCCTGTAATCCCCACATTCCTCCTTTGCATGGCTGAACCCACCCTGCCATCCCACTTCCACAAACTGGGAGCTCTCCAGGCTAGCTCTGGCCACATCCAAGCAAGAATAAAGGCTGAGCTGTTTTTAGAGGCTTGGAGTCTCCTCCAGACATTCAGTTGAGCAAGGCAAGGAGCTGTGAAGCCTCACCAAGGCACTGAAAACAGATTTTCCCCCAAAGAGACTCTGGAGAGAACTAATTTGGATTCATCCCATGTTGTGTCATTTTCCCAAAGCACATCACAATTCAAGATCAGATGCTGTGAGCTCCGACTCAGACAAAAGCAGTTTTCATTTTATAGTAATTGACAACCAAAATATTTTGATTTTGTTTACCAAACAGACGGAGAAATAATATCAACTGAGTCATTTCATTGCTGTGGAAAAGCAGAACATATTTGAAGTTCATTTTCGAAGTATGTGCAGTTCTTCTCAAAGAAATGCAAATAGACATTCTGTAGAAATGATTTTTCTAGATAAATATGTTTCTTTATGTCTAAACAATGGATCTTTATTCTCATTTCAATACCACTTTTGATCCAACAAAGTATGGCAGAGGTGATGAACATTAAAATTTAATGCCAGTGGTATTTATGAATTTTTATTAGGTGAAATTAGAGGTCAGTGATAATTAGAGACCGGTGATCATGATAATGACGACAAAGGTAAGAATTCCAATGGATCTACGGTGCACAGAAAGAGGAATAAATGTTGCAGTTCTCAGTGCAAATGAGGAAATGACTTGCTGGGAGTCTCTAAAACACAAAAATAATTACTGGAAGTCAGTGCAGAACACACTGCTCAGGTGATGACTCAGTGGGTAAGACCTGAAATCAGAGGAAAAATGTTATAACAATACTCCTAAAAAACCCCAAACCCTCTCATTCTTATTTTAATTGCTGCTGAACACAAAAAGCACGAAGCGAGAAGGCGTCAGATGTAGAAGGAACAAGTGTCAGGATGGTTTGAACCATAATCATGAATATAAATCACTTGATTATGTCTGAAAATTAATAACTGCTGCTGCTCAAGATAGCAAAGGGTAGCTCTTAGTACAGCCAAGTCTTATGTATTGCCAATATTTATTATCTACCTTCTCAACTGACAAAGAAATTACAAGATTGCACAAAAAAAAGAGAATATTTTTCTTTTGGCCATTCA